CGGGTGGTGTACACCATGGCCTATGCCGGCCAAATCACGATTTGAGGGTTGGTGAAAATAAAGGGCCCTAGCTCTGAAATGGTCTTGGAACTTGTATTTCTGGAAAAAATTGGGATGAATTTGGACACAAAGTTTCTCTAATTTGCAATTAAGTGTTGGGATATTTTTTTTTCAAAATGGCGATGTGGGTTTCAGGACTTATCCACGAGGCGACATTTGTTTGTAGAGGAATATTGTCAGCCCAAATGAAGTCAATGTTAACCCCAAAATGGAAAAGAAAGTGAAAGAAGGTAAACAAGCTTTAATTTGATGCACTATCTTGATCACCAGTGAGAGTAATGCGCATTTCCTCGATCTAGTCTATACAATTATATTTTTTAACATAACAAAAATGAGATTTCTCCTTCACATTGTGTTGTAGCATGTTGAAATTGCAATCGCCGACGACTTTTTCTGTCTGAGACCATGGTTTTACAATTTCTCTTCCTGCCCGCGATGGTTTTATTTACAAATTTAAAATCGGAACTACTGCTACTAGTACGGCAGCGCTACACAAGGCTTCTTGAAATTGAAACTGAGCTGTCAGTGTCTCATGAGAATGAGATGGTTCTTATTCCTCCATGTACAACCTTGTACATGCATGCTTATTTACTCCCTGTTTTAGTTTTAGATTGATTAAATTACACCGACTTCAAACTGGAATTCAATGAATCGTTACATGAATATGAAATGTTCATGGGATTTGTTCTCGCACTTAATATTGACAAAGTAAATCTCAATTTTTTATAAAATATTGAGGAACTTCTAAAAATGGTTAAACATCAGAAAGCATCGATCTTGAAACAATTTATACATTGTAAACATGTTCTAAAATTTGAAAACAGAAGAAACTTTACAGGAGCAAGAGTGTCATTGAAACAAATAAAACAAATTTTCTTATAATTTTAAACACTTCTGCTAAAAAAAAATCAGGGGAAAGTGGCAGGGAATCGCCTCAGATTGCACCACAGAGCATCTAGAGTCCAAAATTTTCCGGGCCCCTTAAGCGGGCCCCGGACCCCACGCCGTGACGGCTTTGCGCTCCGCGCTCGCATTAGTCCTCAAACCAAAATTACCCCTACGCTATAATTTCACCCTATTATGTTGAGCTTGGGAAAACCCAGCCAGAGCATATGGTCATGTTTTGAGCACCGTATGCAGGTTGAACTACGATTCATGGAGAACAACCTTAAAGGCTGGAAAGGGGAAATTCTTTTTTTAAAGATTAAAGACAATCATGTATTGTTATCAACCTAACTTATCGTTTATAAAACTAAATTTGATAGTAAAAATTATCTAACAAATACCATCAAAGTTGTCTTATCGACGTATTATTTGCTTTGGATTTAATTATTGCCATCATTTTTTCTTGTATTATATTTCCAGATCTGTCCTGAATTTTAGAGAGTAATGGAACAGTTCTATCGTGGTTTTGAGCTAGAAAGAAATTGTGTTCTTTACTGATAAACTTGTCCTTGTAGGGATACCATTTTTCCACGCAGTCATTAATGGTATAGCCATTAATTTGGAATTAAAGGAAGTGAAACAATTTTGTATGCAATGAACATTTGCCTAAATCTTTGACAGAAACTGCTGATGCTTTGGATGTTTTTGAGACTCTTGAAAGCCGAGGAATATTTTTTTCAAAGAAGAACACATTTGTGCTATCACTTCTAACTGAAATTAAAGGAGAGGACTTGAAGAAGAAGTTTCTGCAGCAAAATGAATCCTGGTCCTGGTACGTAAACAATTGTGTGATTTTTTTTCTTAATTGCATATTTTTTGATGAGATTTTAATCTTGACAGCAAAGATTTTGGGCATCACGATGTATCGGAATGATTTATACAACCAAGGAGCTATAATGTAAAGCCACTATAACCTCACTGACTTATTTTGGATTTCTTGTGGAGCAGATAGCATTAAAACAGTGAACGAAACACATACAACAACATGGTCATCTTGCGAAAGATGAACATGCTCATCTTTTGCGAAGTCACAAAATCACTTTTGCGTTTGCTTTTGCACTTGAGCATGAATCAACATTAATTCCGTTCAGAATGCTTCCCCCTCCTTGAAGGGGATGGGCCATGTTCGCAGTTTTTGATTCACGACTGTAGCATGCCATGCTGACCCATGCCCTCAAGGCAGTGTTTGTACACGCACCGTGTCTTACTTGTAACTGGACTTGTGATGACCAGTGATCACAACAGTCAAAAGCCTATACATGTACATACTTTATCCTTGTGGCATAACAGGGAGCTCATCTGGTAGGTCAACCTCAACGCCCCCAGCACACTTTGCAGAAGACTCCGCCCAAGACAATGCCAGCGCTAGCTCAACAGGAGACACGATCAATGTAAAGAATAGTGCTATTACCATTGGAAACGGTAAAGGAAACACATACAACTATGGTATGTACCCAATGTAACTAATACCGCTATAGGTTCGCGTTTGTTGAGTTACAAAGTAACGCAGAGTGGTCGGGCAGACAACTATTTCACTAGACACTGCCCAGTTAAGCTATGAATACGTTTATGTCAGAACAAAGGATCTGGTTAAACCTTTCCAGTACAACCAAGCCTCGATTGTTTTTTTTTTACCCACTTACCCAGTACTTACCCACTCCCAGATTTTAACTTACCCATTTTCAAATTTGACTTACCAGATTTTTTTTATCATCAGACCAAATGATGATTAGATTGTAGCTAAATTTCATCTACTAAGCATGATTTACAAAAACACTTGTCCCGACTACCACCAAATCAAAACAGAAAATATTTTTCGCATGCTGTGATGACAAAGTATGTTTGCAAATATGTACTTACTTTGAAATACCAATATAATTTGCATTCATTCCTCTCATGAAATAAGTATTGTTGGAAGTGCATCAGCAATTGTCATATTTTAATGAATACAAAAAGCAGTCTAGAAGTAGTCTTGAATATCACAAATGTTCAAATTTTGATGAACAGGCAGCTTTAATTTCTTACGGAGCAGATGGCATTAAAACATGAATATTTCTTTCCACTATCTGTATTTTAAAGGTCATACCTCATGACAGTAATATAATAGCGTGCAAGGACTTCACACTTAAATAACAGTGAGGAATCCTCTTTGTGAATTAATTTACAGAGTCTGAGGCAGGTCATGCAGAAGCAAGGAATGAGGCTTCATCTGAAGAACCCCCAAACCGTCCACACAACCAGTCGAATACTGGGAGTGGAGCCAACTCTTCATCAAGGAGTGGGTCGACTGGCGCCACAGGTCCAATAACTTACGTGCTATTATAAGATGGAATTTTGCGTCGGGGTGATATAAATCAAACTAGGTTTTGCCCTTCACCGACGTTTAAACACTGTATACTCAGTGTGTTACCTCCCGAGTGAAAGTTGGAAAAAAGACATCTGCACTAGAAAGCAGGAGGTCGTGGGTTCGAGTCCCACCCGAGTGATTTTTTCGAACTTTCACTCGGCAGGTAACATACTGAGTATACAGTGTTTAAACGTTGAAGGGCAAAACCTAGTTTGATTAACTTACGTGCTCAAAAACTCTTCTTTCACTGGTGGGGACAGTAAGGACAACGTTTATAACCTTGGTATGTGACGCTCTTTGTTGTTTCTATAGCTACTGTCCATTTTCAATGTGGAAACTTAAGTCACAACTTGGGTCTCAAATAACAGGGCATGACGGTGGCAAAAGAATTTGTGACTTGCCCTGAGCCTGGATGATATGAGGATCTTTGATAACTTTAGATGACATCATTTTGACTTTGGCAAAAAAAAAAATCTTTCTGTCTCCGATTTACATGCCTTTCAAATATAGGGTTGGTAGGTCGGATTGGTTTTTTTTTTTGCCAATTTTTTTATGCTGACTGAATGGGGTATCCAATTACATGTATATGCGAATTTCAGCCTGAAATAATAATAATAATAATAATAGAGAACATTTATATAGCGCCAAAATCCGTCTAAAAAAGACGCTCAAGGCGCTTTACAAATTTAAAAAATAAACTAATACTATAGCATAATATATAATAAAAAAAAGAAAGAAAAAAAAGAGCAACTGTAACGTTGAAATGTTTGAAAATGTCGATACAAGGAATAAAAATGTCAAAGATAAAAATAGTAAAATAGAAAACCTTAATAAACGAACTATCCAAAAAATATAAAAGTATCCAAAAAATACACACGTTATATACACATACAAGTATTATACACATACAAATTACCAACCCATAGAGACATTGACCGAAAGAATTGAATATATATCAGGACAAGCAAAAACTAGTGATGAAACCAAATACATGTGACAGATATTACTTAGGAAAAAAATGTATATGCACCCCCTTTAAAAACAAAGAAAAACTGCAATTTTTACAGTAAGGAATCATATGGGAAGAAACAAATCATATCCATCTAAAGCATCTAGAAGAAAAAAAAATACACATATATAAGCATTCTACAAACACACATAAAATTGATATATTGTATAAAATATACAATTTGCCGATAAAAACAACTGGACACATCGAACGAATAAAATGATCATAACAGACAAGTAGATTTAGTCTGATCCCAAAATCAATGACAATTCTAAAGTGACAAGTATTACTTAGCAAATAAATGAGTCTTAAGTGCTCTTTTGAACTGGTTAGTTGAGTCTGCTGAACTTATGTGTAAAGGAAGATTGTTCCAAATATCCATTGCATAACGAAAACTAAAAAAAAAGACCACAAAAAGTGATTAAAGCTTACCCTAATTATTGTAAGTAGTTACGGCGATACCTCTTAAAAATAACGGGAAATTTAGGTTAATTCCGTTCAGAATGCTTCCCCCTCCCTGTAGGGGATAGGCCATGTTCGCAGTTTTTGATTCACAACTGTAGTATCACATAAGTTCACCGTGTCTTACTTAATTGTGACTGGACTGATGACCAGTGATCACAACAAACAAAAGCCTACATGTACATACTTTATCCTTGTGGCATAACAGGGAGCTCATCTGGTAGGTCAACCTCAACGCCGATAGGCTTTGCCCCAGGCAGTGCCAGTGCTAGCTCAACAGAAGAAGTGATGATCCAAGCAGACAGAAGTTTTATTACCCTTGGAACCTGTGAAGGAAACACATTCAACTATGGTATGTACCCTACTGTAACAAATGCCACCAGAGGTTCACAACTGTAGTATCACATAAGTTCACCGTGTCTTACTTAATTGTGACTGGACTGATGACCAGTGATCACAACAATCAAAAGCCTACATGTACATACTTTATCCTTGTGGCATAACAGGGAGCTCATCTGGTAGGTCAACCTCAACGCCGATAGGCTTTGCCCCAGGCAGTGCCAGTGCTAGCTCAACAGGAGGAAGGATTATCCAAGCAGACAGAAGTGTTATTACCCTTGGAAAAAGTAAAGGAAACACATTCAACTATGGTATGTACCCTACTGTAACAAATGCCACTAGAGGTTCGCGTTTGTTGCGTTACAAACGCAGAGTGGTCGGGCAGACATCTATTTCATTAGACACTGCCCAGTTAATGAATACATTTATGTCAAAACAAAGAATCAAGAACTTTAACCATTCTAGTACAACCAATAATTTAGTAAAAACGAAATATGCATCTTTTAGGGTATGATGAATTCAGTAAACATTTAGGTACACGTGCAAGTAATTTATACTGGATGGACACATTTATGATCAGGAAACCATAAAATGTGAGATGCAAAGGATTCTGCAGATCCAGTACACAAAACTATAGTAGTGTTATCTTTATTTGTCGCACTGCAGATTCAGGGGCTATTAAACCATTGCTATGACGTCACACTATTGTTAAAAGTGTGGATTCGGAACTACGAATCTGTTACACTGGTCACAAACTACGAATCCACACTTTGAACATGTCGGACATAGTTCTCCATAGTGAACATTAATAGGACCGTCTGCGTAAAAAAAATCCTTCCGAAATTATCAATGCATCTTCATTGTCAGATTCTCCGCTGTCAGGTGCAAACCCTACTTTGAGTCAGAAAAAAATCATTGGCGTAACTACTCCATATGTTGACGGAAGGAGCCAGGAAAAATGTTGCAAACTGACGCCACTTTTTTTCTTCATATATCATCCCAATGAAAGTCATTCATTGCAAAAATGATGAAATCTGGGATTGAGAATATTTCTAAATTTGTTATTTGAAATACTAGTTTTGTTTGAACAAATTTGTTTGACTCTCCATATAGACTTTGTACACAATCGCAGAAGTGTCGTCAGGTTGCAATTTTTTTCCTACTTGACTACGTACAAGAGCCTCGAAAAACTCCCTTGTAAATTACCCTAATGGCCACGACTGACACGAGATATGCAAGTCCGAGTCTTTTCATCTCCACTCATTGAACTGTTAATGACAATTCTTCTTTTGACGCAATGGTTTATGTCGAAGGATACACTCGCAAGTGTGGATCTTTAATTTACGAATTCACGAGGCACGAAATTATGAATCCACATTTTCTCGTATATTCTCCTTAACATAAAGGCAAGGAAGGTCAACAATCTTTACCAGAATACAGGATGGATCGGGACCCAAGGGGGCTGTGTATGATCATCAACAACGTCAAATTTGAGGGATCAACAGAAGACCGCATAGGAAGCGACAGAGACGCAGGTTTGAGATTGTGCTAATCTGTAATGTTTCATAAGGGTCATGGGCGTCGCCAGGATTTTTTCTAGAGGGGGGCAAAAACAAATTTTGCCAAAAAATGCTTGTATTTCTCAACATATTCTCGATTGATCAGTTTTAGAGGGGGGCAGGGACATTTTGCCCCCCCCCCCCCAACTCATTAAATTTACACGTCTTCGCGCCTCTTTTTCTTTTTTTTTTCTTCTTTTTTTTCTTCCTATTTTTTTTCTTTTTTCTTTTTTGCTTTTCCAGGCCCCCCCCCCCTCGCGACGCCCATGATAAGGGTATGCCAATGTAATATTTCTGTCTCAGGAGAATAATTTTATCTTGAGCCAAAAACTTAAGAGCCATTTTGGATTTACATGTATCTTCTGTCAAATAGATGGTTGTACACAAATGAAGCACAGATAGAACGGTAAAAACCGATCTCTTGGTTTTTGTGACTGTGTTTTCAGTTGAATACGCAAAGCCAGGTAAACATTATGTGCCAAGATGTTGTGTGTCTTTTGCACAAACATATTTGTACTAAGTTTACTTCAATAACTGAATTTGTGTTTAAACTGGGAAACTGAGTCAGAAGATTTCCAACAACTGGGGGTGTGGCTAGTCTATGTAATAGACCCATAGCTCTCTCAAGCGAAAAACTGCAAATTTGAGAAAATTACGAGTGTAGGCTATTAACGAGTCGTTCATGCGATTCGCAGCAAAGCGGATGCCTCACCCTTAGAGCAGGTATTGCCCGCCAAGCGGCCTACCCCCTCCTCAATTGCACATATACATGTACGTCATTATTATTTATACCTTCTCTGGATAAAAGTACACTTGGGCAGGCAAGTTCATATAATCTTAACAAGTGTGAAAGAATGTTGGGTTGAACTCAACATCCAAACATGATGAGTCACCAAAGGGTGGCCCAGGGCCGAGATTTCCACTGGGATGGATGTAATAACATTTGTTACAAAAGTCTAGTGACATCTGTCAATATAATCTTCCACGTTATCTGCAGTTAAACTGGCCGGTCTGTTCCAGAAACTCCATTTTGAGGTGGACATGGAGAAGAATCTTACAGCCAGTGCCATGCTTGATTTGTTCAAGAGAGTCAGTCAGCTTGATCATACTGACTATGACTGTTTTGCATGTTGTATCTTGACGCATGGGGCACTGGGTCTAGTCAGCGGTACAGATAACGAGACTCTGACGATACAAGAGATTCTGGAACTTTTCAAAGGAAATTCATGTCCAAGTCTTAACACCAAGCCAAAAATGTTTTTCATACAGGTATGTTGCGTATCAGTTATACTTTCCCCCGTTCTTTTAATTGGCAAAACAAAGTTATGTGATGCCCTGATAAACATCAATGACATTTAATGGAAAAATAATGTAAAGAACGTTTCAGGTATCTGCAACTGTATGTGTAATGCTATAAAACCGTTTTTGATATATAGTAATACCTTTAGCCACCAAACAACCAGGCAGAAATACAATTTTCCATGCCAGTACATTTTGCTTTCTATCAAAATTCTATCTCTATTGTACTACAACGTATTTGTATGAAAAACATACCTGTGTCTGTGGCATGCATTGTGTGAGTATGCAAACACCGGCAATCGTGGACTAGGGACAAAAGGTTAGGGCACGAACAAAAGGTCCACGGTTGACCGAACCTCCACAATTGAAATTTGTGTACAAAACCAATGAGAGCTATTGGTAAAAAGATAGTACAAACAGAGGAATTATGAGGATTAGGGACAATATGGGGGCCCACGATTGCCGATGTTTACAAAGATGTGTGTGCTGGTGTAGTCCGAAAATTTGGGACTCTCATTACTGTATATAAGACTGAGAGTCCCAAAACTTATTGGTATTGAAAACAGGCAAAACAAGAAAATAGACTGGCACCTAAAACAACCAGTCCAAGAAAGCTTCAGTACTGCATCAATCAACCATGCCAAAAGAATTTAAGAAACATTTGGCATGAAGCGGGAACTTGTCTCAATTTAATACACATTTCTCCGTAGTCAAGCCACCAGACTATTGACACTGAATGAAGAGGTCAGCTTTTTAAATAGTTGTACCATGGGTGGACATGTACCAGTCTAGTATTTAGCCCCATTTTGAAATCACTTGACATCCCTCTCATGTGCAAAATATTGAAGAAAAGTCTCCTTTAAAAATTGAATTGAGTCTGCAAACTTGGTGGATGGAATACTGAGGACATGTTCTTTGCCCCATTGGAATTTTTGAAGAAATTTACTGGCTAAACTGTGAGTAAAGTCGGCCTGATTTAGTTTTGCACGTTTCAGAGCACTCCATAGCCCTGTCTAGTGCTGGTGCTGTCTTTCGGAGTATGACGCTGTGTTGCTGTGGGTGCTGTCGTTGACTGAGGCATCAGTGTTTTATAAATAAGAGATGTTGTGGTGATTAGCAGGTATTGATGTCAGCTGTTTTTGATGTGTTTTATTCTAGGCTTGTCGAGGCGACGCCGAGCAAGAAGGAGTAGAAGTTGTAGATTTACAAGAAATTGATGATGATGAAACAAATTCGACAATACTCCACTTTGGAGAGACGTACTCAGAAGAAGAAGAAGAAGAAGAAGAAGAAGAAGAAGAAGAAGAAGAAGAAGAAGAAGAAGAAGAAGAAGAAGAAGAAGAAGAAGAAGAAGAAGAAGAAGGAGAAGAAGAAGAAGGAGAAGAAGAAGAAGAAGAAGAAGAAGAAGAAGAAGAAGAAGGAGAAGAAGAAGAAGAAGAAGAAGAAGAAGAAGAAGAAGAGCCGCGTGGAGTAGGTGCTGGCATACCCAAAACATTCCCCATTGAAGCTGACTTTCTTCTGAGCTATGCCACTGTACCAGGATATGTCTCATACCGTGGTAAAAAAGGCTCTTTGTATGTCAATGCGTTAGTAGATCAGATAACTAAACATCACGATACTACTGATATGCTACACATCTTAACTGCAGTGAACAAAAGTCTGTGTAATATGGATGTCCTAAGTAAGAAGGGCATCAAGAAACAGGTTGGAGCACCTAGCTATACATTAAAGAAGGTTCTTAATCTGCGTAGTTTGGAGTAGTAAATCCGCTCCAAGATCTGCAAGTCAAAGAAAAGAAAAAAAGGTGAAAATAAGACGATCACTCAAACGTGGAAAATATATCAGTAGCTTATTCAGGTTTTGGCTCTAGGGGACAAGATGTGTATTTTTTTTTCTAAAATGAAAAACAATCAGAACGACTCAACCACAGTTGCTAGAGCCCACTGGCAAGTTCAAATTTAGTATAACTGTAGGTATTGCGATCAAAGACTCTTGGTGGAATTCTGCATTGGGGAAATGTCAATTAAATTGTAATATTAAGTTTTTGATTTGCAACCGTCAGTGAGGGGCAACACTATATATAGAGCAATTGCGAACGTGTAAGAAAATCAGCTCCCCATGTAATCATGCTCGTCGTGTATAGTTGTTTTCAATGGCGGAGATAACTATAAAAACATCACAAAGAAATCCCCCCAAATAAGAGATTTTGGTTGTTGACAATAATTATGTCAGAGGCTTTCTTACATTTAAATTTTGGGATTTCCTTGAAGTTGTTCTAGTCCCAAGTCCAAAGCTGACAACCCTTTGCCTAATTTTAAGCCCAATTAACAGACACTTCTTTTTTTTTGTCGTTTTTGTTTTCTCTGTGACTCGTCTCTGTGACTTTATATGTCAGTGTTGTTTTTAATATGCATTGCAGCAAATTTATTTGTCCCTTTGCTTTCACTGCCTCTTTAACCTGATGTGAAATATCTATGCTTGGCAAAATACCTGTACGCCTATTATGTTTTGTCCGTGTAGTGACACTGCTATGTGCCAAACAGTTCAATTACTCAGTGTGGGATACATCTGAGTCCTGTGACAAACCAAATGTAGCCGAGTCCTGTGCTGACACACCGCGATATGCACGAACCATCCAATTCGATTCAATCTGTATTTAAGTGTCTCCAAGGGAGACACTTTACGCACACGAACATTAATCAAATAAATCAAAAATGATTCAGAGGGTACACTGTCATGGGCGTTGCGAGGGGGGGGGGGCACTTGGTTGCCCCACCCCCGGAAATCGAGAAAAAAAGGGAAAAAAAGGACAAAGGAAAAAAAAAAAAAGGAAAAAAGAGGTGCGAGCCATATTGCTGTTAATTTGAGGGGGGGGGGGGGGGTAGGGAGGGGGTAGGGCAAATGCTCCCCTGCTCACGCTCGGAAAAATATAAATTGAGAATACAATGAAAAAGTTCAGGAATTTTTTGGGGAAACTTGCTTTGCCTCCCCCCCCCCCCCCCCGGAAAAAATCCTGGCGATAGCCATGTATCCTGTGTGTTGATACTGTGAAGTTAGGATTTTTCATAATAACTTCAATAAAATATAAGATAGTGAAATTTAAACTAAAAATGCAGAAAGACAAGTTAACAACATAGTCTTTTATTTTCCTCCTACCTGGAGAGTGTTTTCATTGCTTGGGTTTGTCTGCTAGTCCAGACATTGGTTGTTAGTTCATTCTTGTTCTTCAAGAGTCATTTCCACTAGTGCTGTGTGGATTTCGTTTCGTTTCATTTCATTTATATTTTTCATTTTGATTTTAATTTTGGTTTTTTGGTTTGGGTTTTGATTTTTTGTTCTTGGATTTTGACCCAGATTGAGTTTTTTTAAGTACATGTACATTGTATTCGAGAAAAAGTGGTTTTTTTTCTTATTCTTACTTAAGGATAGAATTTGTTTTTGTTTGGAGATTTTCTGAGATTAATTAATTTTGTATTTAGAAGTATTTTTTGTATGTATTTTTTTTTGTGTTGTCAGGAGCCAACATTTTAAAGATGGCGTGAGTGTGGCAGGGCCAAGTTTTCCTTGTGTATTTTTATAGTGTATTAAATAGGAGTAGCTCCCCTTAAAAAAAGAAAATCGTTTTAGTTTGGATGTTCCCCCCGCCCCCTTTGTCGGTAGTGTGACCCCCTGTTTGTTTATTTTAGCCCCTATTTAAAAGCTGCCACATGGTAATGCCTCAGTTAGTTTTAGTTCAGTAGACCAGCAGAGAGACAAGTTATCATAGTGTTTTATTTTCCTCCTACCTGGAGAGTGTTTTCATTGCTTGGGTTTGTCTGCTAGTCCAGTCGTTGGTTGTTAGTTCATTCCTGTGCTTTTAGAGTCATTTCCAGTCATTTTCATTTATATTTTTCAGTTTGATTTTAATTTTGGTTTTTGGTTTGAGTTTTAATTTTTTTGTTCTTGGATTTTGACCCAGAGTGAGTTTTTTTTTAAAGTACATTGTATTTGAGAAAAAATCGCGACTAATCACTTGAACCAGGTTTTTTCTTTAGTGAGTCATTTTTCTACGTTACATTTTCACCTACATTTTATAATTATAGCTGTAAATATAACTGCTAACTTTCTGAAATAATTTTCCTAGTTACTTGAAAAATTCAAGCCAGCCAATACCTTGCATTGTAAGCTGTACTATCAAGTAAATAATAAATGATAATCTTAATAGAAAAATACATGAAAAATAATTGAAGACATCTTGGTACTTAATTACATGAAGCATCATTCTGGTTCAGAGGACGGGAATTTGGTCCAACCCGATCTATTATGACTAGTATTTCTGTAGACAAAACAAATTAATATTTGGTTTGTCCGCGTCCAATTGTATTCCTCCAAAAGAGAGGAATATGTTGAGCCGACGCGACTCTTTACAATTTTACTTTTAGAATATTCCCGTTACTTTTAATGTTTTGTTTTTGCCAAATAGTAGTCCTATCAAAATGGAAAATGTTCATGCGGACTCTTTATACAGTGTGTCTCCAAAAAAAAAAAAAATGCCAGACGTACAATGTTTAACCATCATGGATATATGTGTGGTTTGAAAAATTCGCCTTTCCACTTTAAAATGAGACATCAAACGTCCAAATCTGATAATTTTTTACAGAGTTTTGTAGTTTTTCAAGAGATGTCAAATTGACCATGGGACCAAGTTATGTACTATGAAGTAATTGTACTTATTTTTGATACTTAATTGCAGAGAGAATTTGATTTATACTCCAAATGTTAATTGTTTAGGGAGGAAAAGCTTTTTTAAGCACACGTGTGAGGTTTCAAGCGAATTTTCAAAAGATCCACCGAGTCCAATTGTAGGCTATCGGGTGTAAACTTGAGCAAAGCGTGTTGTTGAAGGTCAATTTGTTTAAACAAAAACAAATCCCTGACACAAGAACTCGAAGGCTTCTGATGAAAATTCAGTATGCTTTAAAAAAAGTCTTTTCCTCCCAAAGAAATCATAATTGATCTGAATGGGGGGGGGGGAGGGGAATGCTCCCCTGCTCACGCTCGGAAAAATATAAATTGAGAATACAATGAAAAAGTTAAGGAATTTTGCAGGAAAACTTGCTTTGCCTTTCCCCCCCCCCCCCGGAAAAAATCCTGGCGATAGCCATGTATACTGTGTGTTGATACTGTGATGAAGTTAGGATTTTTCATAATAACTTCAATAAAATATAAGATAGTGAAATTTAAACTACAAATGTATACATGTAGTGATAGGGCTGTATGAAAGTTGTTATTTTCGCCTTTTTTAATTTGGTGAAACCATTTTCATTTGGTTTTATGGTTAACTTCTAAGTTTACACCTACATTCAATATAGCTGTAAATATAACTGCTAACTTTCTGAAATATAATACTTTTAATGTTTTGTTTTTGCCAAATAGTAGGTTCCTATTAATAAATGGAAAATGTTTATGCGGATTCTTTATACAGTGTGTCTCAAAAAAAAACACCGGAATGGAAGACGTACAATGTGTAACCAACATGGATATATGTGTGGTTTGAAAGATACGCTTCTCCACTTTAAAATGAGACATTTAACGTCCAAATCTGATAATTTTTTACAGAGTTATGTAGTTTTTCAAGAGATGTCAAATTGACCATGGGACCAAGTTATGTACTATGAAATATGTAAAATTATGTACTATGCAGTAATTTTACTTACTTTTGATACTTAATTGCAGAGAGAATTTGATTTATACTCCAAATGTTAATTGTTTAGGGAGGGAAAGGTTTTTTTAAGTACACGTGTGAGGTTTCAAGCAAATTTTCAAAAGATCAACCGAGTAAACAGAATAAAACATTTCTTAAATTTTCATGACTGTTAGCTGTCTGTTTTTGTGCTTCTTAGAGAAGACTTCTGCGTCAACGATGTAGAGTAGAGCACAGCATAATAAAAAAAAACAGTGCAAAACGAAGTTAGTCATCGACCACTCGTAGAAAACCCCAAATTCCTGCAAGTAAGATAGCCATTAATTATTAATTAAAAAAACCGACAAACTTTTTCTCAAACCCTGAACTATAAACGAAGGAAAGACTACAGTCCTCGCAATGTCAGTATTTTTAAGCCCTGTAAAATCAACGTGACCGTTACCGTACAAAGATGAGGGGGTTATTAAACCTCCTGTAACTTTCACTTGGGCATTTCTTCGCAAGAGTGTAAGAACTCACAAAAACTGTTCTGTGCGTGCAGCAATTTTTGGGGTACTGCAGCACTGTTACACATGGACTCCAGGGAGGAAAGCGAGCTTTCGGGTGGGTGGGGGTGTGTGTGTGTGGGGGGGGGGGGGGAACAGGCATGTTCCACTTTTTCTGCGAGATGTTCTTATTTTCAGGGCGTAGCCAAGAGAGAGGGGATGGGCGTGCCCCCCCCCCCCCGCACAGATCGTCGCCCCCAGTGTTAATCATGGAGGAACAAAAACGGCCTTTCTTTGTCCATGATCCTATGCTATAAGTAACCATGTTTTTTCGAGGAATGAAATATGCAACTTTAAAAGAGCCCATAAAGTTGTCAAAGAACAAACTGCATGTTCAACAATTCTACAAGAGGATATTGACTGAGAGCTATAACACCAGAATATGTTTAGAAAAAAATATTGCATCCCTAGATCAGGTTGGAAACGTATCGGATATTTGTGAATTGTTACAAAATCAAATTGACCTTCCTGAAGTCAGGCCGCAACTTGCGGCGAAACCCGAGTAAATGCTGGACTTGTACAACAAGTCTACCGTATTTCCCACGATGAGATGGTAAGCTATTTAAAGAGAGGGAATTCCCCTACTTTCCATGGTACCCGCGCTGCCCCGATAACAATAAATTGTAATGATCCACTCTTCGCTGGTAATCGGCGCAGGACCGTGCGGCATTGGCGCATTGCATCACATCGGTGGATCCGGACGTCGTTGCCACAAAAAGCACTTCGTAATCGGAGTCGTTTTCTTATGTCATTTTTGCAGGAGTTCCCGACAAAATTGGGCATTGCGTTAGCCACCTATATAATCTGTGTATTGGTCGCGATCATAAATTATGAAGAAATTACAGCAGTTTTTGGAATGAAAATGAGTAAATGAAGTGTGAACTCACGATCGAGTCGGGACATCATGCAGCAAGTTGTGCGCGACATATGACATGCATGTATGACGACATTATGCCTGGCTAAGAAGTGTTGGTGTCATGTCAACGTGTTTGCGTGCTTTTCATACGTGTTCATATTAAAGTAAGTACAAATCGAAATCGGAAAGATAGTAGCAATAGCATCCAGACGCCACTTCTTTTAGTGTAAAAAAGTCTATGGAGAGTCGAGTGTATTTTCATTTTCTTTTCCTAACAAAATTGGAAATGTAGATGAAGAATAAGATTCAAACTCTTTCAGAATTTTTGCAACGACCGATCTTCTTCATTGACTGATATGGTATAGAAAAATGGCATTAGCATGCAGCAGTCTTTCCAAAAAATCTACTGCATAAAAAAGTGTAGGCGTCGACATTCTTTCAGCAAATTCAGGTACATGTAATTGCGTCTGCATCTAAGTGAGACATGATGATTGATATGCCCGTCGTTTGCTTGTAATGACATGATATAAATAACTTCATTTTTTGTTATATCTCTTCAGGTATTTATTGTGTAACAATATCGGAACAGGTCAGCTGCGTCTAGTCATCCAGCCATGGATAGTCCCGAAGTCTCAGTCTTTCGTAAAACCCTGTTGTTTATCTCAAGAGAATTAACAGATGCTGAAGTTCGGCAATTGGGGTATGTTTGCAAGGATCAGCTGACAGTGAAACAGAGAGAGGACATCAAGGATGCCTTGGGACTCTTTGAGATTCTAGAGCAAAAGGGGATCATCTCAGAGGATAATTTTGCTTTCCTCGTCGAAAGGATGGAGGACCTGCAGCGAAATGACCTGAAAAAGAGGTTGCTGGATATAATGCCAGGTAAAGCTATATCCAAAATATTTTTGTCTGTGGCTAGAGTTTTTCACAGCAGTGTTATCATAAGGTCATCATAACTTAGTCTCAAGCATAGAGCTATATTAAATTACGAGAGCTTTGACTCGATGTACAAATTGATGCCTGCTGGGTGCATCCGTGTTTGTGCAAAACTTAGGGAAAACTCCCCCCCCCCAAAAAAAAATTAACGTCTTTTGTACGGCTATTTGCATATCTGCAGTTGTATTTTATATAGTTGCAATATCAAAGTTGATGCGCCGCGAACCAAAGCACAATGAGGATTTCATTTTGCTCTGCGCAAACAACGCGAATGCAAACGTGCATGTGCGTATCTGCTGCAGGAGAATTTGCTGTGACATTTTTTTGCTGTAATGAAGTGCTTAAGTTAGAGTTCACACTGTCAAAATTCACTCCATCTACTTTATAATAAGCCGTTTGCGAGTTAAATTTGAATAAAATTTGGAATGCTGACTTAATCCAATGCTTTGCACGTTTTAACTTTGCATGTTCCCTACCAAAGAGACTGTTACTATATCACATGATTCAGGGCAAGCCTTATGCTAGCAACCCCCAGCTCCGGAATGGTCTGGTGTCTTTGTGCCATTCTCACCCATTGTGAGCAATGTATTGGTGCTGAGCTTCTCTTACGTTACTATGCAACAGTTGGCCCAAGTCATGTGATTAGCAACAGTGTCTTTGTTCTGGAGAATTCAAAGTTAAAATGTGCCAAGCATTCTGAGCAAGTCAGTGTACCAGACCTTTTTCAAATTTAAATCCCAAAGGGCTAGGCCACTCGCAAATGGCTTATTGCATTATGTTCTGCAAACAAGCACATGAATTAAAAAAAGGACGGCTGCAAAGTATCTCCGCGTAAGAATGATGAGTTTGCACTGTAGTAATTTAATATAGCTCTATGATCTCAACTCATCCAGACCCATCACCTAAGGTCACTCGTGAACTATTTAAATGAATTGTGTCAAAGGCCTTCCTTTGTTATAATTCATTCCTGGTTACTTGTGACTGGATTCGTGATTTGAGCCGTAACTTTCTTGTGAGCAAAATTTTGATTTGCTTGTGATCCATTTTGAGTCTCTTGACTACAACAGTGATAAAAACTTCTTTATCCTTTTGGCCAGATGAACATTCAGGGAGTTCAGCGGATGGGTCAACCTCACCGCCTACATCACACTCCGAAGCAGGCCCTTCTGCAGGCCAAGGCAGTGGCAGTGATAGTTCCAAAGGAGGAGTGACGATACATGCCATCAATAGCCCTATCACCTCCAGAGACAGTAAAGGAAACACATACAACTATGGTATGTAATGTCAACGTAAACAAATAACTTTTATGTTGTTTTTAGAAATGATATAATAGATGGTTACCTGAAGGAATTAAGGACAACATGTCACCAATTCCATCAGTTAAAGCTTATATTATAAACCCGCAAAAGTCATTGTGACTTTTATCGTGCAAATATAAAGAGCAGTGGCATATTTAGGGGAGGAGGCAAAGTGCCATCCCCCAGACCCCCCCCCCCTCCCCCACAAATTTCACGGACTTTAACAGACTTGTTGCATTGTTGCAATGAAGAACACCACCTGTTGTCAGATGGTGTCCAACATTGTTTGCCGTGAACAGCGTCTCCAATTGTCGGGTGTACAGCCCCCTCCCCTCCCCCCTTTCCCCCTAGATAAAACAATGATCAAAAGCCTACATAATTATGTACTTCATTCTTATGACCTCATGATATACAGGAAGCTCAACCGATGTAGACCCTTCTACAGGCCAAACCCAAAGTTCGAAAGGAGGAGTGACGATCACAGCCACCAATAGCCCTATCGCCTTCGGAGACAGTATAGGAAACACATACAACTATGGTATGTTTTCCACCGTAGTGCGTAACCTGGATGTGATTGTGTATTCTGAAAGACGAGATTAAAGAAATAGGGGATTTGAGTTTAAGAGTGTGTATAGCTAATATTGCATCCCCTTTCCCAGATATCACTTTTGAAGTGCTGAAAAAACCCAAAATTTTAGCAAATTGTTTTTCATTGCAGTTCCAGGATCTAGGTATGATTTGAGTTCCTGCATTGTTGTGGAAATCACATTTTCAAAGCCTCTCTTTTCTATTGTTAAAGTATTAAAGTATAACCAAGTGTTCCACAGACTGAATGAATTTTCAAGATTTATGTGGACATTATTCCGTTCTCATTGTGTGTGACTTTGCACTGCTTGAAAACGATGTGTCCAAATTTGCCATTTTCAAATGGTAGAGAGAGAGAGAGATGAATATAATGGTTCATGTGCAAAATATTATACCTTGAAGTTCACTGTAATCAGGTTTCACAAGCTGCCCAGCAAATTTGTTGGAAGAGAGATAACATTGAGTCAGTGGAATTGGTATTAAAAATATCATCGTCTTGTTTCAATTTTCTTCTCTTAAGGTTCTAAAAAATCTTCATCGGCTGCACCTGCACCTCAACCCCAGGGCAGAGTTCCAAAGGCTGAGTACCACTCATCGTCGTCTGCTCAGCAGAGCTACCGTCAATCTCCTCTGAATCCTGCTACATTGAGGACACCTGCTGACTTCTACCCTCACTCCCCGAAGGCAAGACCAGCGGTAGCAGGCCAACAAGGTTCTGGTGATGCAGCTCCTAAAAGTCCCCAGTCAAAGGCAAGCGGTTTTGTATCCAAAACGGATAAGACAAAGAGAGCTCGGGTGAATGAGACGTCGATCCTCGACTTGCCAAATGTCATGACTCCCAGATCATCAGGGCCTCCCTCCGATGATAAGCGCTCCCCGGAAAATACCCCAGATGGCAGTTCACATATGGAATCTTTCTCTGAAGGTAAGGGAAGATCCTCAGGCTATCCTTATCAGGCAGTACTCCTTCTATAAGTAATTTCTCCCCAAAACTTTACATTTTTGTGCCGCCAAAGCATCCGATCAGTTTTATATTGAGTGATGAGTGGGGTAAAGATGAAGACCATATATTTTTCTCTTTTCAGCAACAGATTTGTTATCATTTTGTTGTTGAGCATGAAATTTTGTTTGCTTTTATTATTTTTCAGGTGATCTGCAAACTGATGCACCTCAAGTTTCGAAGGTAAAAACTGATGATGCTTTGTTGATTGATATTCAGAGTGAGAATCCGGCACCTGTGCTTTCACGAGGAGGTGGTGGTGTCTGTCAGATTGCATCAGTAGAAGATTTGAAAGATGTCTTCAGCCAAGGAGTTCAGAATCCAGGAGCACTTGTAGATGAGATCGCAAAGAGCCTTGACTTCAATGAAAATGGGATGGAAGAAGATGCTGATGTGTCGGAGATAGGTGGTCAAGTGGCTCTTCGAGCCTACCAACACGAACTTGCTCATTACCCTTTGAAAACAGGAGGCAACTACATCATCTGCGCTCCAACAGGAAGCGGGAAGACCCTGACAGCAGCAAGTATCTGTTACGAGAAATACGTCAAGTATCAGGACAGCCCTATCCCGGGCAGGCACTTCAAGGCTCTGTTCATCGTCAACATCCGCCATCTGATGCAGCAGCAGAAGAATGCCTTTCAGGAGTACTTCCCAGACAGCTTGGCCATCAGGACCATCGGAGAGCAGCAACCATTTGAGCATGCCCTGATCAAAGACGAACCCCTACCGGTGGTGCTGACATTGACGGCGCAAATATTTGTAAACGCTTTGAGACAGAAGGCGGTCAACCTCCAAGATATAGACATGCTGATCTTCGACGAGTGTCATCACTCAGATCTCTCGCATCCCTACAACGTCATTATGCAGATGTACCTGAAAGAGAAAACCGCCTTGTCTCAAGGAGTTGGGGAGCATGTCGGCAGCCTGCCTCAGGTGATCGGGCTAAGTGCCTCTCTTGGCGTGGGCCGTGGTAAGATGCCTCTCAATCATCTCCTGAAGCTCTGTGCAAACATGGATGTGAGAGACATCAAACGCGTCCGCAAGCACAAGAAGCAGCTTGACGAGTTTGTAAAGGCTCCTGAGCAGGATGTCATCATACCCGTGGATTCTAGAGTCACCACCAAAAGACACTTTGGCAGTTTGCTGCATGAGATCATGGACCAGATGGAAGACCAGCTAGGAGCAACGGAGAGATCTGCCTTGCCCCAACATGGTTGCCAGCCATACGAAAACAGAGTCGTAGAAAGCCAGGAGACGGCTAAGCACGGAGACATCATATTGTACATGTACCTCAATGCATACAACAGAGCTCTGATGCTGTACGAAGATCTTCCAGTGCAAGATTGTCTGCAGACGTTGGAAGAGTTCTACAACAGTCGATCTGTTTGTGAGAATGGCGAAAGTACCCAGCAAGAGAAGCTCTGTCAGGATCTTTTTGACAGAAATTTGGAGGAGATGAAGAAGATGGCACGAGAGGAAGGTGATGACAGCAACCCAAAGCTGCAGGAGTTGGTCAAACTTCTCGCCGATCAGTTCACCCAGAATCCAAGTTCAAAAGGTACTGACTGTACCTTCTTGTATGGAGTACCGAAGTGCATACATCACGTGTACAAAATGTGTGTAAAGGACATTAGCGTGTGATTCAGCCCATGAACCAACACGCGCACGTACTACATTCGTTTGCGCTACTCTTTCTGGTTCTAAATGATGTCACACTTCGGCACTCCATTGTTGTTATTATACTCGGCAAATAGTTAACAACTCTTAACTTCTGTGATGTGGGATATGTCTTTTTTAACACTCAAGTGGCGCACCCGAGGCAAAGCTCGGGGTGCTTTGCCTCGGGTTAAAAATGACATATCCCACATCACCGCAGTCAATGATTGTTTTGTTATATCGTGCCATTAAGTCAAAAAGTCAAATGGTTGTAACTTCAGTATGCGAGAAATAAATAAAATCACCACAATGTAACCGTCGATAATTGAGACTGAGCGGTTGCAGCTTTCAGCTTTCCGTCAACGATATTAAAGCAACAATTTTTTTGTTTTGCTGAAAGAACACACACCATTTTTGTGATCCGTGGACAGAACTTTACAACAGTGGTTGTGTTTAAAATTCCGTAACTTAAAAATCTAATGAGTGACTTGAATGATTCTTGTACTAAAAGAAAGATTATGAATTGGGCTTTCATATCCTAGATTTTAAAAGTGCGACATGCAGAACTTCACTAAAACAATGGTCTTGACATTTAGGTTTCTATTTTTTTTTACTCACCCTGTACTGGCTCTACATCAGAGTTTTTTTTTTTTTTTTTATAAAAGAGGTATCTTGATCCTTCCTGAAAAGTAGCTCCAATACCAAGGAACAAATTTGAGAACCTCTTTTTTATGTACTCTAGAAAATAAGAGCTAAAAATTTACAGGTTTGAAATTTTCTTCACCAAAATACAATGTATCTCATGTTTTTCTTAATTTATTTTTTGGTCAGGAATCGTCCTTACCCGCATGAAGGTGGCCACTGTGGCCCTCTGCGAGTTCATCCGATCGTCTAAAGTCATAGAGGAACTACCTTACCCTGTCCAGCCGGAGCGCTTGGTGGGCCAGGGACCATTTGAAGATTTTTGCATGACCGAGAGTGAGCAAAAGATGACTTTGGAGAGCTTTAGGCAGGGTTAGTACTTCATAAATTTGTTTGTTTTAATTGTCCGAGTATTCAGGAATGGCAGCAAAACTGAAGTAATTGTTTTGGGACTTTTTAACACACAAGAGTGAATACTGGAGAGAGTTCAAATGCTGACTGATTTGCTGATTGACTTTGTACGAGGGGAGTGAGTGACTGTGAGTAAAGCACAAGACAGATAAAGCTGTTATGTCAATCGTAAGAACTGATGCAACAGTGTGATCCTAAAGCCGGCCTCAGGTCGACCTTGCGACGACACAGATCAGTCGGTGACTGGCTTTGCAGGATCAGGCTGCGCCTGAGCTACGACTGTCAGGAACAACATATTTACCAATTTTGTGCGACCTGAGCGTAACTGCGACGATATTAAAACGACAGCATCAGCTGGCGCTAAAAAATATCAACAGTCGCTAGAGTAGAAAAATGTCATCTTCCGCTAGTTTGGTGCTATTACATTTGGCTAAATAACAATTCACCTTTTACATATCTTGATCTACAGAGGATGGATGCAATGTGCTTGTAGCGACAGACATTGCCCAGGAAGGGCTGGACATGCCAGCCTGTAACTTTGTCATCCGCTACAACTTTGTCAGCAACGAGATTGGCACGGTGCAGTCCAAGGGACGAGCCAGGGCGGAGGGCAGCAAGTGCTTCCTGATTGTTGAGAGGTAGGTCCATTCAAGTAGAAATTCTGACAGTATCCTAGAACATTATGGTGTTTCACTTAAAGGTAGAGTAGATCATTTGCAGCTATTCAAAAAGTATCTGACAAAATTAATGTCGAAAGGCTTACTTGGTTTAAAGATAGCAATGGCACTGAAATCCCTGTGAAATTATTTTTCCTGGCATGCTGGCTTTTTGAAGAAAACACTAAAGGCCATTTCCAAAGATGCGTCAAGTGGTGCATTTTTTGAAAATTTCCGTTAGTAGTTCATTTGTAATTGGGCGAATCCAATGAATGAGTACACTCAAGCCTGGACACAAAACACACGCGTGCAGGATTGCTGGTATTTATCGGTTCAGCCCGTGACATCGCGTAGCTGCAGTCAGCTGAATGGGGACATGACCTGGGTGTTGATTTCGGGCGCAATTCAAAAGATGACTCGGCAACAATCGAATTGAAATAGGGATCCTAGAATATTGTTTCCTTGGAATATACAGCATTCACAGAGCTAAAACTTCATCATGTTAGTTGTTAAGTAATCGTCTTTAGATTTTGAGCACTTCTGTTGCTTCTAACGAAAAAAATTCACAAATGACAAATGATTTACCCTACCTTAAAAATGATCTTCAAGCATAGGGAATTTTCGGACCACAGACGTATTCCTCAGCTTATTCAAGCCCAGGACCAGAATCAGGCTTTCTGCCGCTAAAATAGAACACAACAATGACAATATTTGCAACTAATATCAAGTTGGAAGCTTCATTTCCCAGTATTTACGCCATATCTTTCTTTTCCAATGTATGCATCAGAGGTAAGTTATCACAAGTCATATAGGCTCAGTCACAGGCAATATTCCAGCCATAAGGACTTCTAGCTTAAAGAAAATTCAGTTTTGGAGTTAACATATTACCCAGCGTGCTCGAAATTAAGGACCCAAGAACGCCTTTTCAGTTTACATTGACAGAATGATTTTCCTTGGATCTATGAAATAAAAATCAAATGACCTTTTGCTGAAACAACAAACTTGGACTTTATATAGGGTTACCAGTGATTATGTATACGTGAAATACTTTGTTTTTCTTTTCTCGATAGTCCCTCTTGCAATGAGAAAAGAGAGTTAGAGAATCGGGGCAAAGTCAAGAGCATGGAGGAAGCCATGAACGAGCTGGAGGCGATGCCAGAAGAGGAAAGGGTGAAATGCATCAAGGAGAAACAGGTAAATGAAAAATGAGTGAGAAAAAGATGCCGAGAAGAACAAAAATGGAGTTGCTGATGTTGAATGCAGGATGTTCAGATTGAGCCCTTAATCTGATTGGAAGGCTAGATGGTTGGTTTCAGATGGTTAAGGATGTGAGGTTATAGTTGTGAGTGCAGATGGTAGCTGCAGATCAGTGTTGTGCAAATCCAACCCGAAATCAACCAAAACCTGAAATCGACATCGTGTCAGGTCACTTTGTCCATCGTTTCAGTCGGGTTCGGAAAATTGACACGATGCAATATTTGTCACAGAGTCGCTGTGCCCAGTCCGACCAAAATGGTTTGCGGCCTATGGCGCACGGTCTTTAACATGAAGGCCTACCAGTAGGTCACTTTGTGAGTGTCGTACAGTGTGATTCAGTTTCAAAGAGGATGATCTCACGCGACGTGGGTAAGTTCAACACACACAAAAAACAGACGCATTATTCTTCTTTTCAGTTTGGTTTGGGTCATTTTTCCTCAATTTTTTGTCCGGTCGAGTCGGGTCGGTTTTAGGGAGTTCAGATCGGTTTCACTTCGGATTCGGTTTAATCTATAATGCTTCAGGTTGGTTCGGCCTGGTCAACCCAACTCGATGCTCAACACCGCTGCAGATGAGACCTTGGAGTACTCCAGGCATACTGACAGCACTTCAGTTTTTAAAATGATAAAAAGCTAGATGCTTTACTCTGCCTGTTTGCAGCATTTTAAAAGAGAATTCCTGCATTACATCTGACTAAATTTATAATGACGGTGAAGACCATCGCAAATCACAAGCCATGTCCAAAATAACAGGAAACAATTTTCAAACAGAAGCCTTTGTTACAGCTCATTTGAAGAGGTTTCCACTCGAGTCTTGATTAATTTTGGTTAGTTTTGACTCGTGATAATGATGTCTATGTTTCCCTCTCATCCTTCTTAACTGACAGTCTGAGATCATCAATGCAATGGCGAAGGCGGAGCGTCGGCAACAGCAGCGAGTTGCGCAGATGAAGGTGAAGCAGATAATCCTGAAATGCGCAGAGTGCAAACAGCCAGTCTGTACAAGCTCCGACCTGAGACGCAAAGGTGCGGGTGGTTACGTGACCTGCGTCAACCCGGAGATCGAGAATCAGATAACTGACGTGACTTTGGAAAGAACAGCAAAGCGATACAGGGATACGCAGAGTGTCTGTAAGTTAATTTGCCAGTGTTTTTCTTTAACCAGTTTGCGCTGGAGGCCGTGTATACATGCAAAAGTTTTGCGGTATTTGGAACGGATGACGATAGACATGCAGGGAGTGAGGCTGGAAATATCTGTCAGCGACCCGCTCGCAACGAGCAAGGCCGGAAATATGAGTGTGCTGCCCGAGGGTGATGGCTTCAACCCGCCTGGCTTGAGGTCAAGTGAAAAGTAATCCCAAGCCTCGTTCCATTCTTGTCAAAATAATCCCGGCGTGAACTGGTTAATAGAAATCGTTGCCGCTCTATTCTGACATTCTGGCTCCAAATAAAGTCTGTCACAAGCTAATGAGGCCCATCAGGCCAGCATTTATCTCCAGTTTCAGTAGCACAAAAGGACTGGGAATATTACTATTCCCCCTGGACGTGGAATTGATGCAAGTCCATCGCAGGTTTAAACTCCTCAGCTAATACCAGTGCCCATTTACTCCTGGGTGGAGAGAGGCATGTGGGAGTGAAGTGCCTTGCCCAAGGACACAACATATGGCCAACAGCTGGATTTAAACTCCCGACCCTCTGATCATGAGCTATGAACCCTGTGCACTGTTTGCCTTCTATTTGAAATATTTATTAATCGCACAGTTTTCCTCAGAACTTTAAAACGGAGTATTATTTCAGTCAGTGCCCACTTCAATTTAATTAGTCACCACTTGCACACCTGCAAATCCTAAAGACCAAATAATAAGACTTAAGGAAATTTGTCTTCCTTTTTCATGCAGGTAAAGTCAAGTGCAACTGCACTCCCAATTGCAAGAACATACTTGGTACCAGGGAGACTTTCTTCCTATCTGATGAGTCGCCTGGCTTCAGTCTGAGAGCCAAGAGTTTTCTTGTCCATAATGAGCACGGCGATGACAAGAAACTGAAGAAGTGGAAAGAACTGGCGATCATTGAAGATGAAGACCTCTGAACATCCAAGGAATCAGTGGCTATGAAATTGGTTCCAGATATTTAATGCGATGAAGTCATATAAACTAAAACATTGTATGCCGTCATAAATTATGGTCGAGGGAATGTATTGTCTGGCCGTTTCAAGCTGACTGAATCTGTACTGTATACCACCTGAGGTTTAAGTGTACTTATTATTGTAATGAAAAAAAAGGCTCAACATATATCGGTAACCTGAAATCATGTTTAATTAAGTAATTATTGAAGATGTACGAAGCCATATGAAAATCAATTTATGAGACTTATTAACATAGTTTATGAACATATTGATATGAATTATGATGAAATATATCTTTTAATTAGGAACAGATTATATATTATCAACATATATATGAATATGTGACAATTGTGAGAAGGTTTACGGAGGAGGCGTGCAAACATGATTTGCTGGTGGGTGCGACTAGGATAGGCTTGCTGAAAATAATGGCTTCCAGACACGTTTTCCTGTGACAGTACTTTTTAGCATTTGAGAGAACTTTTGTTGTCCCCTTTCAAATTAGGCCATATTTTTGTTGAACAATTGTATCAACTGCAGTGCAGTTATACATTGCATACACTGCTTTGTTAATGGTATCCTAATGTAAAAACTGACCATTAAATCCCACCCCTTACAAGAGTTCTGACCAATCACAGTCGTAATCGACTGACATGCGTGAACGTAAGCATGACGCGCGTGCAAGCACGTGTTAATTGAACACGTGCGTTGTGGGCGGGCTTATTGGATTTGTATATTGAGCTTTGCCCGTTTCAGGTACCAGGCAGGAAGTAGAGGGAAAAAATTAGTTTTATGATGTAGGTTATTGGCTCAACCTGCGGTTCGTACGTGACTTCGTCATACACGCACACGCACAACTGATTACGAGCGCCCATTGGCTAAACTCCCAACCTTGCACCACTTCAGGTTCCAATCCGGTTCGTTAGTGTGACACGGTTCAGTTTAAACCACGCCCACTGGCCATTAAGTAGCATTGGAACCGGAAGCTAACGCAACTTGAGTGTTTATATCCAATGGACGGTAGTAATTAGTGGTGCGTGCGCGTATGACGTTTTTACTGATGAACCGGATGGTTCCAATGCTACTTAATGTGCAGTGGGCGTGGTTTCAAATGAAGTGATGTCACACGAACGAAAGGACCTATTGGTCTCCGACTACAAGTTTACAATACGAGATAAATCCCGACCAATGGTAAGGGGAGTTTTGGAAGTTCATAACATTTTTGCGGGATTCATGGCTTTACTCATCTAGCTGTTCGTGATAAATTGTATATTTTGTTTTCAATAAAACGATAAGAATAAATGTCCAAGGAAATATGTATACGGAATTCTCTGCCACAATAACTTCACAGAATATACAAAGTGAGTAATTTGACTCAATATCGTAATAAATGAGTCATTTTGTCCGTTTTTAGTTAGACACTTTAAGCCAAAGAGTGTCACTATACGGACAAAATAACTCATTGTTACGATAATGAGTTTAATTACTCACTTTGTGTTTTCTGTGTTGCTGCTTTCATGTTTGAATAAATGTAATCTATATTTGCCAAATTTTATTAAAATTAAACATAAGGGCCTAATGCAAATTTAAATTTCTTCACAAGCTCTTTTCGTCTATATTTTAAGAGAATTTAAACTTTTGCCAAACTCGTACAAAAGTACGACGTTAACTCCTTTACGGAGGTTCTGTAAATCGATATGGCCCTTGAATAAAATGAAATGATGCGTTAAAAACTACAGCATTTCCCTCTTTCATTTCATTTCATTTTCATTTCAGAAACATTTATTTCCACATGAATAAGCACTTTAGAAAACAAAACAATTGTTACATAAAAACTACTGAGTGGAGGCATTACACAAGAAGCTGGAGCTTATAAACGGAATGCCTTAAACACAAAAAATATATATATATACATATAAACAATACTGAAAAGGGAAGACTAAATTCAAAGACAAAACACAACAAAACAATGAAAACAGAAACAGACAAACAAACGAAGTGGACATAAACTTAATAAACTTTACAGACGGACATACGAAACATATACTAGTTATACAACGACACACATTCCTCCCATAATGCTATATTAAATGATAAAGGTTTAATTTGGCCTAATATCGATTAAAAAAATTAAAACATTTTCTGAAATCTTTTCCAGCAAATAACCTCTTTGAAATAGATTTTAGGAAAAGTTACACCTCCCGACTCCGACGTAACTTACTTGAAATGCGGGGTTAAGATTAACCTCTTCTTATTTATTGAAGTGTCACTGTTTCATTTTATTTTACGTACTTTATTGATGTGTTGACATTTCGTCACTTGACTTGGAGCGCTGTATCAATCATACGTGGTTATAGTGCCACCACGCCAAATAATGGGATAAATCCGCTGTGATGTAGGCATGCAAAGACTTCAAGTGATTTGCCATTCTGAATCGATTGAATTGAGAAACAGCTGCTTTACAAGACGTGTCTTAATTGTATCGTTTGCCGATAGCGGACAATTCAAACATTACCAGTGTTTAGAACGGCACGTGCCGTGTTCCTGACTCCAAAATCTGGCGCCGTGAAAGGCGCGTTGCGTTCATTAATGTTTACATTACTCATTATCTTGTTTACGCCAGTGGGGAGAGAATACACCAAGACAAGTCGCCAAATGAAGTCGATGTCGATAGACCTTTAGCAACGTGTCTTCATTTGATGACTTTCATAGTCACTGCATTGGAGCATGGAGTTTTGTATGTCGAATTCCCAATACCGCATAGTCATGGAATGCGGGAAAAACGTGGAAATATCCTGGAACCACTGCTACCATGGAATGGAAAGTCGTGGATTGGTCTTGGAGGCTTGAATAACCCAGTACAAGTGATGTATGCATACAGTGTGCCTACTTTTTGTCAGTCTTTTTTAGTTTACATTCTATGCAGCTTATGACTATGCTCTACAATGTTTGCATTTTCGATGCGCCCTTGTGATGCTGTTGGTGGCGTCAGCTGTCTTTGGTCAAACTGGCCGGCTGGGATGGTGTCCCTGCCTCAGCGTGACAACAGGCCATTGGAGACCCTATCGTAAATAGGCACCCGCGATGCCAAGACAGCGTTGGATTAATGGAAAGCCTTCATTTCGCCCCGGAGAAGTCATGGCATTTCTGTGGGATGGGAACCTCATCAAACTTAAATGCACGCAGGTATATTCTACGGCGCTCCAGAGGTGCCATTCAAGATGTTGAGATCCTGGCATCACGGGAACACGTCGACTTCGTGACTGATACCAAGAGATGGCGACATTTCACACAGGGAGTCGACATTCGGAGGTAAGTTATCACGGAGTTAAAGTAAATGGGTATGTCTTGTCACTAATTAATTACATTTAATTCGGGCGATTCACAATGCAGTGCGCCACTAAGAGTTGCCCTTTTCTTTTCGTTTGATCAATAAGGAGGTTTTTTTTTGTAAGGCGGCAGAACGCTTTCACCCAATCTGTAACAAATTAGCTCAAGTTTTGTACTGACACTCGTTCAAATGGGCCATCGATGGGTCATGTTTTGTTGGTGGCGCACTGCATTGCGAATCGCCCGAATTAACCCTAATGCTCTCCAACCAGCCAAACTCCTACACCAGGGTTTAGTGCACATAGGATGGATGTTGGAATTTGCAAGGATGAGGATGGTTCCTAGGGTAAATCACCCTAGGCTAGTGCTTTAATGGAGGATGGCGTTACATCACAAGTTTATTGCCAAGTTTTGTTGCTCAATCCCTCGAAATATTCATGTTTACAAAAATATAAAATATAAGATTTGAGGCTTTGCATGGTGGAGTATCGGTATCGTTTCGGTTTGCGGTAACACCATGTGGTAATAACTACTGCTTAGAAGATATTTAGTTCTGAAAAGAACTTGTCCTGCTTATTATCAGCTTCGCTTAGTAGTTTTTGTTCTGATAAGAACAGCCCTGCTCAGTGTAAGTTAAAAAAAAAAAGTAATTGGCTAATGTACCTAAACTACTGTACCTAAAATTGAAAAGAAATGAAAAGATGAAAGACAAGACAATAATTACTTAATTTTTGTTTGAGAAACCCCAGTGATGTTGGCTTGCATGTTATTTGGCCCTGAACTTTGTTGATTTTACACTGTTTTCAATGGGGCTTGAATTAGTACAGTGGACCCATGAACAGTTTTGACCATGCGTGTGACAGGCAATTTTATTATTGCGGGGGTGGTTCTGTTTTCTAGCCACCGATACCACTCGGCTTAGAGTGGTATGTGGGATACACTTTGTGGAATCGTCCAGGAATTGGAGGAATATTTCGCAACATTTTTTATATTTTATTTCCGCCTTCCGCCTGGACATAGTCGCCTTGCTGCTCTTATCAGGTTAACTTTGTGCGCCGGCTGGCCGGTGCGGCGTGAAATACAATAGACAGCTACGCCCTGCCACGCGCCGCCACGCGCCGCCACGCGCCGGCCACGTGCCTTTAACCAATCTGGGAGAGACTTAGCGATGACGTCCTATCATCGTCGTTGAGTGACAGGCGAGAGAGGGTGTAAGCAGTGACTTGTTTTAGTGGTTTATGTTTTGGAGAATCAGTAAACGTTGGCGAAACATAGGCCTATATGCACTTTGAGTTTGACGGCAAGCTTCCCTATTAAGCCCTTAGTTCATTATTACAACACATATTTTTGTGGAAAAAAATTACACATCTCTGAAAACTGCATCTCTGGAAAAATCTCCGGCATACTTGAGTCTGCTCTCGCCACAATATCATCATAAGGCCCATCAACATTGATTTTTCGATTTTCATCACCTCCCTCCTCGAGTTTCACTCCCGCCCCGATTTATTTTTAAAATTTCATATTGTTTTCTGAAAGTGGTATTTCCTCACAAAAAGTGTAGTTTCCAGACAAGTTTCTCACCAAATCAACCTAGAAAATGGTGAACAAAAACAGAGAATCTGTAGTACAGTGTTGCCCTTCACCGACGCATAAACACTGTATGCTCAGTGTGTTACCTCCAGAGAAACAGAGAATGTAGTACTGATACACTTCAAAACAACCCACGAAGAATGCGCAATGGCATTCAATAGTCATTATTTTTCCTGAATTACAGCATACCCCGCCAACGTGCGCAACCTGATATGGATTACATACGGAGCCCAAAAGAACAGAACACCATGTTCTGTACCCTTTTTTAACCGACACAGACAGTCGTGCAATAAATTATTGGTTCTAAACCAGTCCACTATATACAAAAGACTTTTGCAAGTCTACTATAATTATAGATATATTCACCACACTCACGAGCCATACCATGGTCCCATAGAGTTGTAATAACTCTATGGATGGTCCTCCCTTAGCGATATCAGTACGGGGCGGGAACCAGTCAAATGCTAAGCTGGCGCATATCGCACGCGAACGGCACGCGAACGGCCGGAGAGGGCGATGACGTCATCAGTGACCGTGATAATGTAATGCGCCTGCGTGTCGGCCCGCCGTACTGTCTGCCGTGGTACGTTTTTGCTCATCGTCATCATTACTTATGCACGCTGTGCTATAAAAAGCCTGCATAAATATTCCTCACTGCCTTCCATGTTCCATTCAGCATTGACACGCGTATTGTTTCATGAATATTAATTCATGAATTGACTCGTGACACAAATTCTCCCACATCCGAGAGTACCAGCAAACAGAGTGCCAGTAAATTCCTGCAACTGGAAGCATTCGAGAGATCATCAATTTCTGCAAATATCGTCACACCAGCACGCTTTTGCCTTCGAAATTGCCAGTATTTTCCTTGCATTTTTTACACACGCAACGAAAGAAGGAAATCGACTCATCCGCCCAAGGGAAGCATCCGTTGACCTTCAATACGCTGTAGACTGTGAACATTGCTACATGAAACCATGGAGGTATGGTCAATCGCATTTTGATAGTTTGTAGCATATAGTGAGCTTGTGTTTATATACCAGTTTTTCTTTTTTATTTTGCGAGAGTAAATTATTTTTCTGCGTACAAAATGTACCAGCACATTCGACAATTTTTATAGACATTGAGCAGTAGCTATGAAATGATTGTCCCAGCTAATAATTTTGACGGACTTATTCACAAAAATCACTCTGTTATTTTTTCTTTGAATAAATTCACTGTAAGAGCAGGGCATTTAGAAATACAGAATTTACAGGAGAAATGTCTGTTTCGTGTGTAGTATTTGCGGCACTCCTTATCACCGAACCCTTGTCACATTTACAAATTGTATTGGGAGGCATGAGTTTTAGAAATAAATTCAATACGGTAGGAAAATGCATTGCATAATAATACCGAGTGTGTGCACGCTTGGGTGGAATCACGGACTCGCCATACGATTCAGGAACTACCACCAAATAAATGCTAAGACCGACGACCCGTAAAGGTCAAACAATCCTACATGTATTATCATACATAAACATATTATGGATTTTTTTATTGGAGTCAGTGCGGTAGTTTTGCAAATGTTATTGAGTATAGTACAGAAGTCTGTTTCTGTGTAGAATATTGCGGCAGTAATGTGCCAAAAAATGACGATTATTAATAAACAATATTGATTTATTTTCTGTGGGAGACACATGCTCAACATGCAGTGTAACATTTGCAGTATCACACAGGCCACTTGATGTTTTTTCCCCGTCTTTCTCGTTATTATCCCAAACAGTGGAGTAACGGCAAGAAGATAGCCATTGGGGTGTGTGTCCTGGTCATAGTTGCTGGCATCGTGGCCGCTGTGGTCGTCACACAAGTCGTCAATAAATAATGCTGGACAAATAAGACTGCAAGAAGGACTGAGGATTGGATCTTCAGAGGCTAGAACGAAGACTGGAGTTCCCGGCAGAGGACGCCCTCTTGAGACAATGACTTCAAGGGTGCGGAAGGAGCCATCAAGTTGATGGAGTAGCAGCTGATTTTAGGGATGGGAGGGGCGTCACTATTTTTATGGGTAGGGGCTAAAATGGGCTGATGTTACTCTAATGTAACCCTTCCAGCTATATTTTATTGAGCCCGCCATTTATTGTCTTTTTTTATAATCGCAATAGCAGGATTTTTGGTAGTGTATTTGAGGAACCTCACTTTTAAACTGAACAACCTGAAAACGGAACAATTTTTTTTTTATCAAGAAATCAAATTTTTATTCAGAGAATTAATATGAGGAGGCACAAATGCTTCTCCATCTTCAAACTGAATGAAATCGATAAGGAATTTCTCAACACTGAATGAAATGAAAACTACTTTTGTATCATAGGTCGTAAGAAGTTTTATAATTAGAGTAATTTTACCCTCCCCCCCCCCAAAAAAAGAAACAATGTAAGGGCATCAGAAGAGACAGTACCTTCTGTTATGCAAACTCGTAGCCACGCATGTCCGATGAAGGAAGTTGAGTAGTGTCATGTCTATTTTGCAGTATTTGAGTGGGAAGTTGACGCCAGAAATAATATCATATACCAGTTTCTTTTCCGTTCATAACAAACTTTCCTAATTCATTATCACACTTTCATGACCGCATGTGCCCAATTTTTAGAGAAAAGAGAGAAAATAATACTTAGGAACACTATCTTGATAAAAAAAAGTTGTGTAAACTATGTTTCTATTCCGACATCTTCCCGTCTATATGCTCATTTCTCTCATGTACATAAATCTGTACACCTCATATTTTTTTTTAAAGAAATGTTTGATACATAGTTATACTCAGTGATTAACAACGTAGTTTCATAGCTGCCTTTTTTCAATTAATTCTAATGTAGAATTTCCTTTCCCGATATTTAGTTCATGTTCTTGTAGGCGCTGGAAAACAAAGAGTTGTCTTTATTTGGCCAAACTTTTTTATTATAGTGAAATATAGGCGGGACACAGACGATAAAATTCAGCCTTTTTTGTTTCGACTGAAATTTGCTCGTTGCCTTTTTGCAATTTCAAAGTCAATCATTAAATGTGCACCTTTTTGTATAGTTTTTGGCTCAAAATCCACATTCGTCTTGAAGGAAGTACTTTTTTAAATTTCCTTAATGTTTATAATTTTCCTTAATATAAGAGTATAAAAATGTCTTGCCCAGAAAACAAAACTCTATACAAAAACCTATAGGGAGTAATGAAAAATTTGGTTTGTATGTTTATTTTCAATTTTCTTCTGAGACTGATTATATTAAGGGAATGTTGCAGGAAACGTGTGTCTATTTATAAGTATCATATTTTTGAAATATTATAGATTGGTGTATGGAACTAGTTATACAATTTAAAAGGTGCTTTGTCAAAATCTGTTTTTGTTTTCATCAACCATTGTCATTACTTCAACCATTTTTCTGAATGCCTCTCTTAAACTACGTCTATTGTCGTTAATGCAATTAAATGCACAACTCATTTAAAACAAAATCTTCTCCAGTCCCACGACTTTAATTTGCGACTTCTTGTGTGATTTGATCGTGTGAGAGAATTCAATACTTATTAATAAAATGCCTTGCCGTGTTATTTATTTAAAAGATGTGTGCGCAGATCGTTCGTACCTGGCTTTTGTTGCGCCTATATTGCCTGAATGGTTGGAACCATTGTTATGAACTTTGTATACTTGCCATTGTGAAACCGCCTTTTTAAGTGACGCCACGTTCGTTCGCGTTTTTAGTCGTAATATTTTTCTGCTCAAGGGCGGATCCTGAACACATTTTTTTTTGGGGGGGGGGGGCCAAAACAGTGGGTCAAAAAATTACGGCGTGGGGTTCGGGGCCCGCTTAAGGGATGGTTCCTGGCTGCCTCGGGATGATTCTGTTAGTTCGGTGAAAGATCGGGAAACACCCCGAACACATTTGAACATGTTCAAAATTGTCGGAGTGATTCGGGAACCATTTTCAATTCTTGGTTTATTCTTGTGGTATTCATAAATTAATTCGGAAATGTGTGGATAAGGCTAGCATAAGCTGAACCTCCACCCGGAAGATGCAGTTGGCTGAAGGATGACCTCAAACTCTGCATCATTGGATGTCTTTAGCTCCTTCAACTTCCGTGTTATTTTTCCGGAACCATTCAACGACATCGCAGACACGTTTTGTGTCCTCAAGAAACAAATGTCTTCTGCCGTCATTTGAAAGAAGGATCGGAGTTTCTCCCTGCAACTGGACCAACAATATTGCTTAGGGCCTACTTTGAAAAGTTGTGTAGAAAGCTGTTCATACTTACACCAACAGTCATTGACTGAAAATAAATTCTTGAAAAGATAAAGCAATCAGTTTGCCACTCATCTCTCCGTCAATAACATCAAAACAAATCCCGCTGGGCATCGAGGGCAAATCGTAATTATTACATGTATAGGCAGGGGGCACCAATAAAAAGCACACGGCACATCGCTGATCGCTCCAGGGCCTGTCTTTAAATTTAAAGCGGTGTTAATTGTCAAAAACAATGTAACCCTTTCATCGTTTTCCCCCGAGCCCATTCCCACCCTTTTACAGGACATTAAATTTCTTCCAGCATAAGGTTTTGGTGGACTTTAATGCTTAATGGATTAGACAAGAAAGAGAACCAGCGCACCCACACACGGGCTTGTGTATAAAATGTCTATTGTTCTTCCGACTGTTTCTTTTGTTTGTACACGTATACTACTACTTTTTTGTACTATGGCGCGCACATCCACCCCAGCCCCGTTATCTCAGCAGTGGCAAGTGGTAGTCAGTATAGTAAGCAATGTTTGTGACACCATAGGTGAAACTGACGGGATAACTCAAAAGTGAGCAACAATTTCTGTCAGACCGTCGATTGAAAGTCGACAATCAGTCAATTTTAGGCCTAGATACGCCAAATTTTTGTTTTCTGATGACTTCATCATACAAGGAGTTAACGTCAGTATTTCCATGGGGCTTTATGTTCTTCAGCCTGAGACGATGTCGTCTTTGGTGAGATGGCCATCCCAGTTCTCTTCAATATTCCCGTGAGATGCATCCCTACCGGAAAAAAAGTTACGTTTACTGCATGAGTTTCCTCTCTAAACTCACTCACACGCTGAGAAATAAATACTGTAAATTGCCGGATGGTTAAATGAAATCAACTGTTTCTCAATGCACTATATATAGGCCTATTTCTTGATTTACAAAAGCTGCAAGTTATAAAAAAAAAATTTCCAAAAATAATATTGGGTTCCCCCAAAACATGCGACCGTCAAAAATAACACAAAAAGCACATTGTGCCCGATTCATTGTTTACCAAGGTTGTTATCCGCCGGTCGACATAAACCGCGGCGTCATGCTTGGATTGGCCGAGATTGCGCCACATTCACTCACTCACTACACCAACTAGAGCACGTTAAACTCTGGATGAGGGAAGACCAAATTGGGACTACAAACCAAAATCTAATGTTACACATTACATTTGTTAAAGTTAATCGTAACAGTGGATCCGATACCAAAAACAACGATAAGTATGAATTATAACCACTATTTCATTTCGAACTCTGAGTATCAAGCGCAGTGTATTTGGCATTCCATGCCTACCCTCCCCCTTATCGGAATGGAATGCGCCATTTTTGAAGATTCCCATCGGGACTTTTTGTGCTTTTTTTATACGTGCCGGGGATCCTGCCATTATTATTTTTGTCAACATCGATCGGGAGCGCGTAAAATTTCATAAATATTAAATTAGGAACTGACTTGTGAAAAATATTTAAAAATTCTTCCATGTCAGCAAAACCCTGAAAGTAGAAGCACTCGGGAGGACTTTCGATCATCAATTTCTGCTGATATCTCCACACCAGCAAGCTTTTCCCTTCCAAATTGCGAATTTGTTTCCCTTGCAATTTGTAATACGGGTGTGCAACGCAAAAAGGACACCGTGGAAATTATCCATTGACCTTCAATACAGTGTGCATTGCTACATAAGCCATGGAGGTAAGTTCATTGCATTGATTATTTTAAGTGCACTGTGAACTTGCCATTTAATCCTATCTCCTTCTTTTATTTTGATAGAGTATTTTTTTTTTTTTGTTAGAAAATATACACAAATGCCAGCATGAGTTTTTTTGGTCTTTAAAAAAAAAATAAGTTCAGTGTGGTGATAAGGGCAGTGTATTTGTAATAATATCGGGTGTACAATTTTGTTGTCTGTATACATCATGAAATATTGTCGGTAATCTATGTTGGGGCAGGGCATCCAATAATTGTTCTCTTTGGTAAGAGGATGCTTTTAATGACAGTTTCCTCCAAAGATTCATTTTTAGCAATACATGCAATATATTTTACGGAAGATTCCTAAATGTTGAAACAATAGATGTTTTCCCCTCAGTTCAAAGATTTTGATTGCCAATAATTAATAACACACACCACAGGAAAATGTTGCATGTTTAAAGAGTTCCTGTTCTTGTTTCCGATAACGTTCACCTCCCCCTTCTCTTTCTAACCCCCCCCCCCCCCCCCCCCCCCCCCCCTCCACAGACCGGGAAATGCAGGTGTGTAAATTGTAAAAACTCACAGAGATGACTGTTATAACTCTATTGTAATACATGTAATGAGAACTTGGCCATATGGTGGCATGGGCTTTTTAGGACCCCGGCTTCTTTGTTTGACGATTTCGCGTAGTGTATGACTGAATTGCCGTCGGCACTGTATGTACCGCGCCGACGTGTCCGTGCATTACTACTACCCAGGTGTAAAATACATAAGGTTGCCAGAATGTTGGATGTTTTGCTGCCATAGTTTTTTTCCTTTGGTGATCTGCTGTTGTGTGATGGCTGTACTGAAGCCAATGAGCACACTTTTGTCACAAATGTTTGCAATGCGCATTTTTTTTTGCGGGGGGGGGTTTGACAATTCGAACAGAAAACCCTTCCATACAGGTGTAAAAGGCATATGGTGGCCAGAATTTTGGATGTTTTGCTGTCATAGGTTTTTTCTTTGGTGATCTGCTGTTGTGTGATGGCTGTACTGAAGCCAATGAGCACACTTTTCTCACAAATGTTTGCAATGCGCATTTTTGGGGGGGTTGACAATTCGAACAGAAAACCCTTCCTGAATGCCGCACCTGATGGCATTGAATATATACGCAGTTGTAATTTTCCTACGAAGATTGCGTCCTATGACAGAAATCTATAGGTCACTTTATCGTCATTGATTCTTTTTTCTCTGTCTTTCCCAAACAGTGGAGTAAAAACAAGAAGATAGCCATCGGGGTGTGTGCCCTCGTCATTGCTGCCGGCATTGTGGCCGCCGTGGTCGTCACTCAGGTCGTCAGACCTTAAAATGCTGAACAAACAGGTCTGAGAGAGGACTGAGGATTGGTTTTAATGAGGCTGGAAAGAAGACTAGCAGAGGACGCCCTCTGGCGACATCGTCTTCGAGGATGCCGAAGGAGCCAATAACTTCATGAAGATCTGCAGCTGATGGGAGGGGTGTCCGACTATATTTCGGAGGGGAGGTGTTTTTTTTATGAAGTAATAATGCAAAGCTCAGTGATACCCCGTAATTTTTATATGGATCCCACCTTATTTGCATTAAAAAAAACACATTTTGTTTAACAATCGATCATGCATGCCAATGTAATATTGTCGGGTAATTCAAGCGTTGACCTAACTTTTAATCATTTTTATTGCATGTATGAACTGTAAATATTGAAATTGTCAGCATTTATGCTGATTGTATGCAATATATTGTTTTTGTTTCTAATAAACCAGAATATATGTATAATAGCACACAAAATTGCAATTTTTTCAATCAATTATCAAGAAAGTACATTTCAAGAAAAAATTAAACTGTAGCTTTGTCTTCAGGATAATCCAAAATTGTCAAACACTGAATGAAATGAAAACCACTTTTGTATCATAGGTCGTAAGAAGTTTTATAATTAGAGTAATTTTACCCTCCCCCCAAAAAAGAAACAATGTGCGGGCATCAGAAGAGATAGTACCCTTCTGTTAATTATGCAAACTCGTAGCCACGCATGTCCGATGAAGGAAGTTGAGTAATGTCATGTCCATTTTTGCAGTATTTGAACGGGGAGTAATTGACGCCTGAAATAATATACCAGTTTCTTTTCCGTTCATAATAAACTTGCCTAAATCACACTCTCATGACCGCATGTGCCCAATTTTTAGGAGAAAAGAGAGAAAATAATACTTAGTAACACTATCTTGATAAAAAAAAGTTGTGTAAACTATGTTTCTATTCCGACTTCTTCCCGTCTATATGCTCATTTCTCTCATGTACATAAATCTGTACATCTCATAATTTTTTTAAAGAAATGTTTGATACATAGTTACACTCAGTGATTAACAACGTAGTTTCATAGCTGCCTTTTTTTCAATTTTTTCATTTTTTTCAGAAAAAAATATATACTGCGCACGCTATCATGGCCTGGTGATCATCCAATCCATGGCTTTAGAATGCAACTAGCTCTCGGTCTCAATATTATGGGAGCAGGAATCAGTCTATAGACGATTTAGAGTGGAAATCACTCTAATTTTAGACTGAAATACTCTGAAAACACGAAGAATCAATCCAGTGGGTACACAAAAGGTGCACACGGATGATGAATCATCCCAACCTCGTCCCCAGTGCTTACTTTATTTCCAACCGCGTTTCCAATAGTAAACCCTGGATAGGAAACTTTCTTCCTGTATCCTGATTGGATACCGCAATTGGCTAGTAATGGATTTTTATCGTGTACTTGGTGCTATTATTCACAACGTGCAGTACGTGTTTTCGAGATCATTCGTCCACGCCTTCTCAAAAATACTAATTTCCTTTTCAATTTGCTCATATGATTATGAAATATGATACAGCATGTTGTCTCGATAAGATCGTAACAGTTTGATTTCAAAAATCGTGTTTTCGTAACTCACGCCGTGCTCGCGCTGCTACGAATTGACTCTGTTTTTACCCCAGACACCGCATACAAAAACAAACGCTAATGTGTAACGCATATCCAGGCATCAGACTGTTCCTCATTTGCATACGTGTGCAAAAATCTTGCACATGCAAATGATCCAATACCAGGGTGAGAGAGCAGGTAGTGATGGGCGCGTACTGCTCGACACCCTGGGGACGAGGTTGGAATCATCCCGGTTTACTGCCCGTAATAAGTACGATTGTGTGGTCCCGAGTCCTTGATATGACGATTCATTGTGTTCACCTTTTGTGTGTAAAAAAACTCCACAACAGCCGGCCTTCGCCGTTCAGAGCTTCCTACGGCCTTGATTCAACTAGAGCACATTAAACTCCGGATAAGGGAAGATCAATTTGGGACTACCTTCCAAAACCTAATGTTACACATTACATTTGTTCAAGTAAATCGTAACAGTATGATCCCATACCAAAAACATCGATAAGGATGAATAATAACCACAATTTCATTTTGAACTCTGAAATTCAAGCGCTTGTTTAACAGTGTATATGCTCCCTCTCCCCTTACCAAAATGGAATGATCCTGGACATGATTTGTTTAGGTCTTGTGTGCCACGTGGGAGTGCTGCGCACTCTTGGGAGTATCGTCATCATAATCTATGCATGGTACGCTTTAAAAGCCAGCATAATATTTTACCTGCAATAATTATTTTCTACGGCATTAACACGCGTAATAATTTTTTCATGCATAATAAAGCTGACTCGTGACAAAACAATTCTTCCATCTCCGTGGATATACGCGCAGTATCAGCAAAACCCATTCAGCTGGAAGCATTCGGGAGAACTTACGATCATCAATTTCTGCTGATATCTCCACACCAGCAAGCTTTTCCCTTCCAAATTGCGAGTTTGTTTCCCTTGCAATTTGTAATACGGGTGTGCAACGTAACAAGGAAATCAACTCATCGGACACTGGAAATAGTATCCATTGACCTACAATACAGTGTGCATTGCTACATAAGCCATGGAGGTGAGTTAATTGCATTCAGGCGCGGATCCAGGGGTGGGCCGCGGGGGCACGTGCCCCCCGTCAAATTGAGTCCACAAAAAAAAAAAAATGAATGAAACAGGGGGAAAAAGAGGGGGAGGTGAGAGAAATGGAGGGAAGGAGGAGGGCAGCCTTCTAACAAAAATGCCGGCGTCGATATTAAACATCAGCGGCCTGCAAACATTGTTTACTGGCCGTATGACACATACAGGGAACTCGAGAAGCTTCGAAGTAAACCGCGATCCCAACGTACGTATCCATATGTAACCCTGCATGGTATATGGGTTATGAAATGCGATTCATATGAGCGTACGTACCGGTACGGTACGAAAAACACGCACGTGTGACAGCCGATGTGCTGTGTTTAGCGCGATGAGCGCGACATACACGTTGAACCACGGATCAGATCCGTGGTTGAACGCTGCTCTTTGGACCACACCATTGGTCAAGGGATGTGTTTTCGTATAACAATTTGCCAGCATTTCTTCCACGCGCTTCCAAGGAGTCCAAAACACATCCGTTTCAGTAAAAAATGTCCGTAGAAAATTTTATCTTATTGATAAACTGAAAATGTATACTTGATACAAAACATTAGAAAGCATCCTTGCAAAAGTTTACAAACTAAGTCTATACAATTCCGTTTCAAAAATGCACGAAAACAATTATGCAAACGAAAATGGTTATCAAGTGAAAAACAGAAGAAACTGAAAAGGCTTTTAAAGCAAGAGTATACATGTATATTAAACCAATGAAAAAAATCCTTATTTAACTTAAAACATTTTGCTCAAATAACTCAGGGAAAGAGGGGCCAGATATCGCCTCAGATTGCACCACAGAGCATCTAATTATAAAAAAAAAAATCCGGGGCCCTTAAGCGGGCCCCGGACCCCACGCCGAAAGGCATTCGCACTCCGCATTATTAGTCCTCGGGGCAGATCTCCCGACGCATCCTTAAAACAGTTTACAAACTAAGCCTATCCAATTCCTTTACAAAAATAAAATGCAAGAAATTGATTATGCAGTCGAAAATACTTGGTTATCAACTGAAGAACAGAAGAAACTTAACTAGGCTTGTATTAAGAAATACAAGAGTACAATTTCAAGAGAAGAAACTTAACTAGGCTTGTATTAAGAAATACAAGAGTACAATTTCAAACCAATGAACAAAAAATTAAAAAAACACATGGTGTTACCGCAAACCGAAGCGATAATGAAAAAAAATCCTAATAATCTTCACAACATTTTGATGAAATGGGGCCAGGAATCGCCTCAGTTTGCACCACAGAACAACAAAAAATCTTACAAGATTATCAACTTTTGCACAAATAATTCAGGGGGAAAGGGGCCAGGAATCGCCTCAGATTGCATCACAGAGCATCTAGAATCCAAAATTTTCCGGGGCCCTTATACTGCCCCTCCAGCTCTGAAATACAACAACGTAGTACGGCCGCGTCCTATCCAGAACCCAGGTCCAGCATAACGCAGTAGGACAGGAAACCAGTCTACACCTTCCGCGCGTGCGCAGTTAAGTTTTGGTCTCTCCATCGTCCGTGTTACGTTTGACCTAGCCCCATAAATGTGGCCTATTTACTGGACTGCCTCCGTAAACATAGGCCACACATCCACATGTACAAAAATCGTGTCGACGGAGCCAAATTTTGATTTTCACATTTAGGCTTAGTTTGTAGGTTTTTTTTGCTTTAGAAGCATACTCACCCTCTTTACAGGCTAATCAGAAAGTGCTGCCTTTTTCAGATGTCTAATTTTTGTGAAATTTCATGTTGAAATTTTGATACGCAAACGTGTAAAAATGAATCTGGAAATTTCACGAAAAATATACATCTGAAAAAGGCAGCACTTTCTGATTAGCCTATAAAGAGGGTGAGTATGCTTCTAAAGCAAAAAAAACCTACAAACTAAGCCTAAATGTAAAAATCAAAATTTGGCTCCGTCGACACGATTTTTGTACATGTGGATGTGTGGCCTATGTTTACGGAGGCAGTCCAGTAAACTGGCCACATTATGGGGCTACGTTTGACCGTAAACGTAGGCCACAACTCTTCCATTTTTCTTGATTTATGTTGAGATTATGAACAATTTTGATGGCTTAGAGGAATCTGTTCTGTTGTCTCCGGTTCCACGAAAGCGGGGAAGGTCGGTAGACTTTCATGCGAGAGAAAAACAGAAGAAATTGAGGTACACTGGCGGCGGCAGGGTACCCGCAATCGGTCATACTAAACAGCGTCAACACAGCGTCAACACACTCCAAAGCGTCAACACAGCGTCAACACAGCGTCAACACATCCAAAATGCATTAAAATTGACAAAAGCAGTATGTAACCCATACAGTTTGGACAGAAACAAGATTTTGGCTTAAAATTAATAGGTTAAACGTCTGAAAATTGCGATTTTCAGTTCAAGAAAATTGGCTCTCCGTGCCTCTCCGAAATCGGCTGCAATGTTGCCTCAGTGGCAGTGCGGACCATACCATTATGCTAAAGGGTGATAGCGTTGTACAATAAACCAACAGAGAGGGCGCGGCCGGCCAATACCAAAAGATGTCCATTTCAATAAAGTAAATGAAACATAAACACAACTCACAAAATAATGATCCACTCCGATCCTCAGTCCTCAAAGATCTGGTATCCCTCTGTCTGTTGTTTATGACAAGATAATGTCATTACCTACACACCCCTATTTGAAATGGTGTAGTCCAAGCTTTGTGCGAAGTCAAGATGGCGGACAACGGCCGTGCGAGTGAAAGGTCATTTTTTTCGCGTGAAAATACGATATTTTTAACAACGAAATGGAAACTCAATCCAATGGAAATTCTCTTTTATTGTATGTTTCACAATTATATGCCCTTTTTGTCAATTCAGAATGTGTTTTGGATGTGTTGACGGTGTGTTGACGCTTCTGTCATGTGTTGACGCTGTGTTGACGCTGTGTTGACGCTGTTTAGTGCGACCCCCAGCAATTGGGTGTACACACACCGCGAAGGACAACGCTCGCTTGTGCCACGCCGACCTCCTGTCTGCTGCTGATTTAGCCATAAATCACAACAAATTTTATGCAAATCCTGATAAGGTTGTTCAAGATCAAGTTGTTTTGAGTCTACTTGACATAAGTCCCCCAAACCGACGTCGGATTCCTGTAGCGGACGAGGGAGCAAGGAAAAACCGAAACATTGATGTCAAGTATTCACTCTTGACAGAAAATCATCCAAGATTATGCAAGGCAACCTTCACCACTGTTCTTGGTAAGTAAGATTTTTAATTTTGTACCCTAGGCCCCTATTACATTGTAGATTATGGGTGATTTACTCCATGCAGGTTTAGTGGTACACTGTAGAATTTTGATGTCTTGCTATGCCATATTGCTACATGTACAACTTACAAGCAACAAGCCATTTTGCAGATAGGCCTACTTGCATCTTGCTCAAAACTGCAAGGGTTGGTGATGGGGGGGTCAGACAAGTCGACCGTTGAGACAACTCGACTCGGGACAAGTCGACCGTTGAGACAACTCGACCGTTGAGACAACTCGACCGTATGTGCGATAAATGGAAAGACAAGTCGACCGTTGAGACAAGTCGCCTCGCATGTTTTGGGCCTAGGTTTGGGGAAAGTACCGGGGATTTTGACGGCGGCTGGTCGCCGTTTGGGAGTAATGACATATGAAGGGTTTTTTTTGCATTAAAAGAGCCGATATAGCGCAGCGTGATTGGCCGTGCACATCGTTCGTTTGTTCTGGGCCACGTGCGCGCATCCCCGATCAACGTGGCCGTACCGTGCACGGTGGCATCGTTTTTGCCGGGCCTGTGTGCCCACTTGCCGCACCGGTCGACGTGCCCGCGTGCCGAGCCCGGCCCGGTCCTCGCGGCCGGGCGGGGCGCACCGGCCCGACGCGACGGCCACCGGATCGGAGCGCCCTCTGTACATCGAGCAGTCTCAACGGTCGAGTTGTCCCGAGTCCAGTTGTCTCAACGGTCGACCTGTCTAACGGTCGAGTTGTCTCAACGGTCGACTTGTCCCGAGTCGAGTTGTCTCAACGGTCGACTTGTCTGACATCCGGTGATGGCGCTAATCACATGGGGGACGTAGACGGGGTAAACGTGGAGACACGTGGTAAACGTGGGAAGGATTGCACATAGGTAACGCAAAAGGCATGGGGAGGTTAGAGCCGTTCTGAAAATTTCTTTTTAAGTTGCATGCGAGTTTATTTTATGATTTTTGTAGCAATATTTAAAGTAATAGACAGACAACCAGTCCATTAGTTTTTAAAACTCTGGAACCCAAATTTAATTCTTTTCAAAGAGAAGGAGAGATTTTCAGAACAGTTTTATCCTCCCCATGCCTTTCGCGTTACCGATTTGCAGTCCAGGATTTTTGCACCCCCCCCCCCCCCCCCCCCCCGATGAACATGTAGGGCCTACAATGTTTGAACATGTTTTGTTTTTTTTCAATTTGTTCCAAATCCTTTTTTCCCATAGTTGTTTTTCCTTCTGGGTTCAAGCCTGCATTTTCTCCATGCTGTCAGATTTTTTTTTCGTAGTGGCTATTTTTACGGTAATCGTAACGCAACTTCCGAATTCTATAGTTACGGTATTATCTAAAGTATCTTAACAAGCTTTCAAATCCCAAAATTCCACTGTTACGTGATGATGGCACAGTGGTAACACACCCTGCTTCGTGGCATGGGGTCCCCTGTTGGAACCTGCATACTACTCCATTTTGCATTTTTTTTTCTCCCAGTCCTTAATTTTTGTTTCTTTTTGTCGTTCAGATCATTTTTACTGCATTTTTCTTCTATTTTTTGGAAGATTCATCCCATGGAGGATATTTTTTTAGAGAAATAAAGTCCGAGATGCATTCATTATAGACTGGTCTGGTTCTTTTTTCCAACACACCAGACTGGCGCATCAGAAGTGAAAGTAACCGGTCTACCTTTTCCTTTTTTTTCTGTTAATTCTTTTCCATTCCTACATTCCATTTCCTTCTGATTTTCTCCTCGCAATTTTTTTTTCTCATGTTGCTTTACTTCTTTTGTCTCTGCAGGTATTTCAAAGGATCGTGTATCGCGTGTGGCCAGGTATTATGCAGAACATGCACAGCCGTGTCCGGAAAACAGAGGTGGACTTCGTAATGAAGATGAAGTCAATCAGAAGAGGCAGAGTGTTATCGACCACATCAAAACTTTCACGTGCAAAGCCAGTCACTATGGTCGACGGGGGGCACCTGGCAGGAAGTACTTGCCGTCTGATCTGTCAGTGCGCAAGATGCATGAACTTTTTAAAAGACAGAATCACAGTCAAGTGAGCTACTCGCTGTATTATTCGATTTTCACAAAGCAGTTCAATTTGGGTTTTGGTCATCCAGCCACAGATGCTTGTGCCACATGTGTTAAGCACAGGCTGACGATGAAGGACCCCCACCTTACAGAAGCAGAGAAGCGTTCCAAGACTGCCATGTTTATTCTTCATCGGAGACGAGCTTGTGTCTTCTATGATATGCTAGGTAGAGTGCAACCCGAGGCAGTAACACTCTGCTTTGATATGATGCAAAATATGACTCTTCCAAGAACACCAATTGGCCAAGCTTATTATTCCAGGCAATTGTACCTCTACCTGTTTGGGGCACTGGTTCATCATGGTGTGAATAGCACCCAAAGCAAGAATGACGTTCATCTGTATGTGTGGATGGAACATCAGAACAAAAAGGACTCGAACATGATTGCCTCTGCTGTTAATGATTGTTGTCGTGTCAGATTAAATGGAACACTCCGCCAGAAAGGGAATCTTCGGCTATTCAGTGATTCCTGTTTTGGACAAAACAAGAACATGAACATGATTGGCATGCTGAGCGCACTGAGGAAATCAGCCTTTCCAGACTTGAACATTGAATATGCTTTCCCAATCCGAGGACACAGCTTTTTGCCTGCTGATCGGATTTTTGGACGGATAGAGCAGGAAATTCGTAAGCATGACAGCATCTTGCACCCTAAAGGGTACTTCGACATTTTGAGAAAGTATGGTAACGTGTACATCTATGGAGAGGATTGGCATGCCCTAAACTTCAAAGAACTGGTGCATTCATATGTCAAACAACAAAGGACATTCAAAGTGAGCGAGGCCCGCATGCTGTCGCTAACCAATGATCAGGTAGGCTTCAAGTCTACCTACGCTGGCGAGTACTGCCATCATGCTGTCCTAAAGCGTGGAAAGAAGTGGACAAGTTTCAAACCTGCACCACTTGGGATGGTCTCAACAGTCAAGAAGGCCAAAAAGGAAGATGTTGAAAACCTGTTGTCCGCAATTGGCGCGTCAGGAGATGTCATGGCATTCTACAACAATGCGCTCAGCAACACCACTGACTCGACTAAGGATGTTGAAGATGAACACAGTTCAGAATCTGAAGATGACAGTGTTGATCATGAACAGTAGATGTCAGTTTGTCATTGGTGGCTGACTGTCCTGTCTGTAGTCTCCATGCATGTAATTTCACTGTTCGTTAATAATGGCTGCACCCCTTGCAGTTGTGATTAGGTTCAGTAGTGTAAAGCCAACTCCATGTTGGACCTAAATGTCTGCACACACATTTATGGTTTGCATTGATATTGATAGTCAGGATCGAGGTGACAATGAAGTGAAATACTGGTATCGGCTCCCATAGCTCAAAGCTTTAACACCATAGACCCCTGTTGAGATGACGCTGGCGATCACATGCATGGTTGAATTCGTTGCCCATTGGTGACTAATTGGATCAATGTTGTTGAAAAAAAAAAAATGAAAAGTCTGGGTCGCAGCAAGTCATACTGTGTGTACATATAGGGCTTTGATAGTCATGTTTTTATTAACTGAAATATCAACAGAGTTCCAGTGTTGCTTAAGCCCCTTTCACACCGGGCCTACATAGAGTTGCGTATTGCGGCAAACCGAGTACGCCAAAATTAGGCTGCGTACTCATGTCCATTAACAGCGGTCACCCCCACACCCGGTCATTATCACGCAGTGAAGACCGGCTCCACACACTGTTATTCCCTTATTGTTCGTATCCTAGGATTAAGTGAGCTGCCAAGGTGTCTTAACAGAAACACTGTATGCTCAGTGTATTACCTCCCGAGTGAAAGATGGAAAAAAACACTCGGGTGGGACTCGAACCCAGGACCTCCTGCTTACTAGTACAGACGTCTTACCACTCGACCACCGACCACAGATTTGAACTGCCCAGCCGATCCCGTTAGCTCGGTGGTCGAGTGGTACATGTGCGTTCGAGTCTTACCCGAGTGGTTTTTTGCATCTCTCACTTGGGAGGTAACACACTGAGCATACAGTGTTTGTACATGTCGTTGAAGGGCAAAATTGCTAAATATGGATTTGATAGTCATGTTGTTAATTAAATGAAATATGAATTATAGTAATTTGCTTGAACATTCTACCGTTAATGTTTATTGTTGAAAAGTTTTTGTTGGAACAATAAGCATGGAAAGTAAGCAATGGGCCCTACTACATGTATCACTTTTTTGTAATATGTGAAATGGGGCCTATTGCACTAACCATATTTTTCATTCCAACGTTTTCAAGTCTTCACAGAAAGTTTTAAGATTGGGATTCATGTTATTTGTGTAATGGACTAAACAAAAAAAATGAATTTTAATTCTGCTGAACATTGTGATTTTTGTTTCAGTCTAACACGTAAGGTTGCATTCAAAGCATGGATTCTAAAAATGAAATGCGGTTCATCCCTGTACATGCACAAACCATGATTTGTGGACAAGGATCATGGCAATCGTTTTCAATATCATGCGACTTTTATGGATTTTTATGAATTAGTGGCAACCTTCATTGCTTTTTCCAGCTTTCGGCACAAACCTACCACACATGTCTGTAGCAGAGATAGAAAACAATCGAAATTTTGTTATCAGTCGGGTACATGGAACACGGTTTACAGTTATGACCATGAGCAGCGGCGGATACAGGATTTTTCCAAAGGGGGGCGTGGACAAAAAAGGGGGGCGTGGACAAAAAAGGGGGAGTGAAATGTACCAAACAGCAAAGGGTAAAGGAAAGTTTTGCCGCCTACACTGCTGGAGGGGTCTTGGGCGTTTTCCTGTGTTATACAAAACATTTTACCCCTAAGTAAGGGTGCAAAGATCATACTTTTTTTTCAGATTTGTTATTTTTTTCCCTGATGAAAAGGGGGGGGGGGGGGGGTTCACCCCCACGACCCCCCCCCCCCCCCCCCCCCCCTGATCTGCCCCTGATGAGAGTCCCTTTTACTGCTGGAGAAACCATGTGTATTGATTTAGGATCCTGATGAATAAAGTATGATGAAATGTATGAATTTCGCCTTCAGTTTCCTTCATTGTGTTTGGATTTATTGCATCTTGCTCAAAAACTACCGGATATATAGTGCTTTGAAAAAAAAACCCTCAAAAACACTTTTTTTCTAAAAATGCAAAACTAAAGATTTTATTTTGAATTGGCATGTCATTGCAGACCCTTAAGTGATCACTTGTGCATTTTCATTTTTTTCACTTTTAGCCCCGTCTATTAGCAACGAAATATGTCATTTTCCCAGAAAGAACTTATACGGATATATAGCGTTTTGCGATGAAACTTAAATGTAAAAATATCGGGTGTACAATTTTGTTGTCTGTATACATCATGAAATATTGTCGGTAATCTATGTTGGGGCGGGGCATCCGCCTTCCAATGATTGCTCTCTTTGGAAAGAGGATGCTTATAATGACAGTTTCCTCCAAAGATTTGTTTTTAGCAATAGGTGCAATATATTTTACGGAAGCTTCCTAAATGTTGAAACTATAGATGTTTTCCCCTCAGTTTAAAGATTTTGCTTGCCACACACCACAGGAAACTGTTGCATGTTTCAAGAGCTCCTTTTCTTGTTTAAGATAATGTCGACCTTGTTACTAGAATAATATGTGTTTCTTTAAATAGACAATTTTCCTTAGCCAGATTTGTATGCACATTACACAATGTTTAAACTTTTTCTAGTATTAGTATTTAATGTCATATTTTTATTATATACAAACACGGGTAGGCCTTTTACCTTTTAAAAACGTACTTTTTTTTAATGTAAATCACGTGCAATTCAGCTGTGGCTGCTATTTGTGATTTGTTAATAAGGCCCAAAAAACAAGTCTCCGGTTTCTGGTATGGAGCTTGCCCAAAAAGTGGTGCGGCGACGCGGCTTTTTTTTTTTTACCTGATTTTTTTGCTTCAAATGTCGGCTGATGACTGCAAATGGTGCCCGATTAAACTTAGTGCAAATGGGAGTCCGGAGAGGCCACATAAAGCTTATTCTCGATCATAACCCCATCTAAAAACACGTTAAAAGTGTGCAGCAGCAAGATTCCAGTCAAACCAGTGAGTTTGGCGGTTTTGAGACATCATCTTTTATTGAAAAAAAAACCGCCTGGGATCTGGGATTCACTCATGCGTACCGATTTTGGTGAACCTTGCCCAACAAAAGTTGAAGTCTGCACCACATCGTCCTCACCACGACGCGGGTCATTGTTATGCCGTTCCATCCAGAGGCTCGGGCTCACACACTCACAGCGCGACAATAGATTTATGCGCATGCCCCAGTTTTGCCTGGCTGCGCTGTGAAATGAATATTCATAAGCTCCTTCGTACTACGCTCAAAACGACCTTCCGAAAAAAACTGCTCACAATGCACGAGAAAGGTATTGAAGTCATGAGACTTGTCCCAAAGTAGGTTGAAAAATGAATAACTTTAGCATCTTCATCAAAGATTTGAAATGCGATGTCGTACGTTATTTCGCGAAATAAGAAAAAAAGGCCTCTTGTGCCAAAGGACAGCTAATAACCGGCGAAAAAAAGGTCGTCAACAAAACTGTTTTTCTGCAATTGAGTATTAAGTTAATACTAAGACTGCCATGAAAACATCAATTAGGCTTTACATTTTGTATTAACGATGATTTCAAAAGAGTAACCCCTAAACTCGCCTGCAAATGGGGATTGGTTCACTGAACACGGAGTGTGGTTTTCGCGATTCAACTGCACAATATAACACAGAACGCGGGATACACAATTCAAACAAGTAGGCCTATCAATCAGGAAAAATTTGTTAAGTTTGTTGCATCGATCAGTATTATCGGACTTGATTAAACACTATTAAGAAAAAAGTGATATTTTCCACGCATGCGTATTAAGGTAAATGACTTTAATAACCTGCAGAAATGTATGCGCACGGTCGGCCCATGATGGGAAGTTTATTTCATGTTGGGTGGCCCTTTCACCCTCTTAATTATTGTTGTCAATGTTATATTATGTATCTGTATATTACTCGTCTATACTTTCATCTTCACTGGTTCCCTTTTTATTCTCTGTGTCTTTGCCAAACAGTGGAGCCTCGGCAAGAAGGTCGCCATCGGGGTGTGTGTCCTCCTCATAGCAGCAGGAATCGTGGTCACCGTGGTCACTCAAGTCGTCAAATATGAAAAATCTGAGCAAACAAGTCTAAGAGAGGACTGAGGCTGGAAAGAAGACTGGGTTCGTGACAGAGGACGCCCTCTGGCAACGATGGCTTCTAGGATGTTGCAGGAGACAATAAGATTTGCAGCTGATGGGCGGGGTGTCACTTTTTTGGAGGGGGTGGGGTCGGGGATGAAGTATATGCAAAGTTATAAGTGACACTCCTTCCCGCCATAATTGTATATGGATCCCGCCTTATTTGCATTTTTAAAATATCTTTTCAATAATCAATCATGAACGCAAATGTAGTACTTTTTAGTTGGGTAATTTATGCATGGGCCTAATTTGAATGTATGTATATGAAAAATGTTTCACTCAAGAAAATCTATTTAAAGAAAAACGATATTGTAGCTTTGTCTAGGGTGGTACAAAATTGTCGTAAACAAGTTACAGAAAATTTGACAAAAAATCAAGTTCATCAGACATGGTCAAGACAATAGCACAGCGTGCACAAAGAACTGCAATAACGATGACCATTATCTCACACAGTCGTGAATTTCTATGCGCCTGAGGACAATGCTTTGTGTTTCTCTTTTTCCCTGTAATATAACACTCTCCCATAGAATAAGCACATAAAAGTACGACCGAGGACCGTTTTCAACAAAAGACCCAACGTTCGAGGACTGAAAGGATCTGTTGTTCTCCCTTTGTGTGTCTGTCCTCTATCGTACAGCCATACATGTGCATTAAAGCCATAAATAAATAATCCACGTGATACACTAGGGAAGTCACTTAATAGAATACTCCACTTTTTGAAATTTTTTAACGGATTTTAACGCCTGAAACAGCCACTCATATCATAAAATGCTAGTTCCTTTTCCGTTCATGGTAAATCTTGCCTAGAATAATAAAACAATGCCTGATTTTAGAAAGAAAACAGAAGAAATGTTAAGTTTAAAGGGCTCCTGAGGTGTAATATTTTCAGTTGTCTCTCCGCCCTATGTTGTCAAGAAATGCATGGAAAATTTTAAATGTTTAAAGAAGTGCACTTTTCAACAAAATTAACCAAAAAGGAATATCAATTAATGTTCATACGCTTAAGAGGATTAGAAATTTAAGTAGCACAAAATATGTTCCTAAGAAATATTCACTTCATGAGCCCTTTAAAGCCAATTTGATCAGAAAAGTAGTTTGCATTCCCCACCACACGTTTTCCTTTATGTACTCAAATATCGTATGTATAAATGTGCATTTCAACAGTTTAAAGAAAATATTTCATTTATATACTCAGTTAAAGTTTAACAACTTAGTTTTATAGCCGCCATCTGTTCAATTATGTCGACTGAAAAGGTCACTTCTGATCATTTTCATATCTGCAGGCTTTCTAAAATAGCAGTTGATTTGTTGGCCAATACTTTTATTTTCACCAAAACTCTTGAAGCCATTATCTTATACTAGATGTGATATATTGTTCTTTTACTACTAAGACGGTGAACGCGCAATAAAC